TAAGGAAACCGCGCTGCATCTGTGCTGACCCAGCATCTCCACTCCTCCACTCACCTCTTTTGCATAACCTTTTTTTTGTGTTTGCCGGGGAAAAGTGAAGGGGAATACTATAGCATGTCATTGGAGTGACAGAGCTGAATCTGCTGGGGCTGCTGACATCACATCCAAGATGGCAGCTCCCAACAATAGCCTCAGGGCTTTTGGTTGTCTACACAAGGGAGGCTTTTACAGGTAAAAAAACATACCTGGGTACGTTAAATTAACATAAAATCATATGGGAAGATTGTTGTTGAACTGAATAGTCTGGTGACAGGGTCTCTTTAAGCCTGAACTACTACTACTTTAAGCCTAACATTTCTGAAAAGCTCGATCAGTTGTGGTTGGGGTTAAACTTTTTAAAAAATTGGGGAACCCTCAAAATATGGAATTTCTAAACCAAGAGGTTTACTGAGGTCAATGGAAATCCGAATCGTGCAGCGAATGATGCAACATTGTGCAGAATGGTTTTAGGAAGCTCCTGGCACCCTTGTCTGATGGGAAGATAACCAACTTCAGACACATCTCTTAAAAATGTTACCAGGAATACTAATTAGAAGGGTGGGATATGGTGGCACTGGCGGACAAGCAAAGGGTGTCCAGGCAACAGCACAAGGAGATATAAGGCTGGGTTCACTTCTAGGCGCACCATTTTTGTGCGTTTGTAGGCGTGTGAGCAGTATGCAGTTATTTGCGCATTTATGCGCATTGTGCACATATGTATGCGTGTTTTAACGTGCGTACATGAAGATGCACATTTTGATTGGCAGCTCATAAACCATTGTGGGCAATGGAAGAGCGTGTGTATAAACGCGCAAAAACGCTCACGAAAATGTACAACATGCTTCTGTTGCGTGTTTTTGGGCATTTCCAATGAAGTCTACGGGGCAAAAAAGCGCTTTTAACTGCCCAAAGGAGCTTGTGTATCTTTTCATGCAGTTATGCAGTTAAAAGCGCTGGGCAGTTGGGCAGTTAAAAGCGCTTTTCGAACTGCTAGGTGTGAACCAGGCCTAAGGCATATATGGATGCTGTGGTGTGTCCTAGGCTCAGGTGAACTCCAAGGGAATATACAGAAAAAGGTGAGAGAGAAGGAGAGACGGGGGGGCGGGGTGTGGAGCCCTTATGGTGTAGTTCATGTATGAAAAGATCAAATTGATCAAAAACACTTTCTAGGTGGATTGTGGTAAGTTTCCCCATAGGTTCATAGGTTGATTTTGATCCCAGGGGTCCCCAGTCCTAGGTCTCATGATGGACATCAGGATGGTCAAGGTACAGTGTTTATGGTGGAAAAGGTTTCCCCCTGTTATAGAAGCAGAGGCGCCCTTGGATCAGTGTGAATGCTGTAAAGTGTAGATGAGCTCAAATATCCCAACTCCGATAATATTCTTCCAAGGATGAGCTTTATTGTGGTTAAACACGTCTGACTATCTGTCACTTCATCAGTATTAGGTGTGGTACAGGTTTTCGTGCCTGGGAATCACTTGTTATCAACAACTAATGTTTCAGATATAAGACAGAAACAGCCTTTGAAGAACCATGTGGTCCCTTGTTCCCTGAAGTCATTTGGGAATCCAATCAAATTTGCATTTGGTTCTGGACATCAAAATGTATGATATTCAGTCCAAATCTGATGTCATCCAAATTTTGGGATAATCTCTACTTCCCATCAATTTACAGAACATGCCAACTTATTCAAATCTCTTAATTTCAAATAAAAGGTATCACTTTCCTGCCTTTAAACAAAAATGCTTCACCCTGGTGTGATCTGAAGCCTAGTTTAGGTCACATGTTTTCCAGCAGTGCTGTGGGTGTTACTCGGCATAAAAGATTGCAGTGAGTCTAATGTTTAAAAATTAAACAAAACATTGAGCGTAACGAGAAAGAATAATTAAGCGTTGATCGAGGAATCCCCCACTGTTTCTATTGTATTCTGACAGCGGGCGAATACCCGAACGGAGCTGGAAACTGATTAACGGCCTGCTCTATTTGGCCGAGTATTTTTTTAACCAGCTTCTTTATCAGGAGCCGGACAGAAAATTGTGTATCCGGCTTTAGCAGGGCACAACAAAATTAGAGTCTGTAATGAGTGAACATGGCTGTACCCCTGTACATGTATACTCACATGCATAACCTATGATTTTTTTACATTTAAAAAAGTAAAAAGTTTGTAAACTTTAAACTGATCTCTTTTACATAAAATATTTTTTTAAATACAGTGCCCCTTTAAGACAACAAAAGCAAATCTGTCCTCTCATGCAATTTTTTTAAATCCCTAGGACCTCTGAAGGACTGTGAATTGCCACAATTAGTAGGGTGATCTACATCTACTTTTTATTGCTTTGAACTGCATGGAAAAGGGAATTAAAGAAGACTTATCGTCATGTAAGACACTTCCTGCCTGCCAATCCAGCTCCCTAAAACCCATAAGAGCCAACAGAAGTCATTACTCACCTTTATTGTAGAGCAGGGGTAGCCAAACTACAGCCCTCCAACCAGGGGAGTCCCTAGCTTTTTTTGCCACTCGAGGCGTCGTGGGACATCACTGGTTGCCAGGAACTCAACGGGACGCCCACATGAGCTTCCCAGGTTTCCATGAGCTGGGTGGAGAGATGAGTATAGCCCTTACACAGCTCCCCGCCGGGCTGTTAGCAACCTGGCCAGAAAGGGGGTGGCAGGCACACTGCAAACATTGTGCAGCATAGCAGCCATGCCACTCTGCCTGCCGTCCACCCCACGAGATGCTACCTGAGGCAACAGCCTTAGGCTGCCTTATTATAGGGAAAGCCCTGCCTCCAGCTGTGGTGAAATCCCATCATGCATCTGCCTCTGGAAGTTATGCCTGTGGCTGTCAGAGTCTTGCATTACCTTATGGCATTTGTAGTTCTACAACAGCTAGAGGACCGAAGCCGAAGGATGTAGAGGCCACTGCTCTCGAATGCCATGAGAGCCAGTCATGTGATCAAACCCCTAGGCAATTGGTCACATGATATCTGCTAAAGGGGAAGGAGATTAGCCATCATGGTGAATTAAGCAGGCCATTTAAATGAATGGGCTGCTGCCACACACGTTAACAGTTGATATAGTGCATATTAATGTGCGTGCGTTAACGCAATAATAAATATAGAAAATGAACTGTGCCAATAAGCAAGCTAACAGCTACAAGGCACTGGAATGTACACCCACTGTGAGTGTGTATACGTGAAAAATGACATTTAGTTATTCGTGTGTTGACGCACCTCTACAATGGGAATCCAAAGGTATTTCATGTCATCTCTTGGCTTTTTTAACTTTCAGGAAGAGGGATGAGAAGGATAGCAGGAATTTTATATATTTTGCAAATATAGTTTAAGCTAATGTATAGCCTTCTCGATATTTGAAAAAGAACAACTAGAACTCTGCTGAGCATTGAGGGTTAATCTTCGTGCGGTGACGCAAACCTCTCTTTTCCCCAGCTGTGGCAGCATTACATTTACAGGAGATCTGCGAGGATTTATTTTATTAGACTGTTGTCACTGTAATTCCTCTCCCCTTCACAACAGCCTCAACACTGGTCTGGTCTGCGTTCTGTTATTACAAATGTCCATAGACTCTCTGCAAGCTGCCTAGAAGTCCATATTCGTCTTCAGCCAGGGTAACAGAGAGGCAAAGGTGTAGTAAGCCAAGACGTGGAAAGGAAGCGTAGAAAGGAGAGCAAGGGGAAGAAGGGGGCTGGGTGCTTGATAAGGAGAGAAGTGAATGGAAAAAGGGTGGGCATTGTGAGATGATGGAGTTCCAAGGAGCCTGAGACATACAACAGCTAAGACAGGAGATAACAATTTGAGGGTGGGGGAAGCAGAAACACAGCAAGAGAGGGTGGTACACAGCCTCTGAGACTGTTCTGTATATATAGGAGGTGTCAGGCCTCACAGCCTATGATGCTCTAACTGCAGCATGCATTAATCAGGCCTCATAAGGGAGGGGGTCTTCTCCCTTCACACCCCCAGCCAGCCAAGCAGAGACATCTGTGTGGGTGTAGAGATTTTTTTTTCTCTGCAAACTGGGGGTATGAGACAGCATAGGACAGGCTCAGAGCATGAGAATTAGGACATTTCCTCTCAAATCCATCCTCTAGGGATAACCTGCTACTAAGGATGCTCACATGACGTTTCCTAAGTAGTCCTTAAGGACCAGCTTTGAAAAGCTCTCAAGGATGAGTCATTCTGATTGCAGAAGACCAGCATATACATCCGCAATGTTGGATTTTTATGTAATGTCCAGAGAGGTTCTGGCTATGGATTTCTTAGGATCGGATGCTGGGTCTATGACTTGTCATCACTGATATCTTGACTTGTTTTGGTACTCATGGACCAGGAGAATTCTTGCCTACAACGCACTCAAAGGTGTGAGGGGTCAGCCTATCATTGCTGAGATTTGCACACCAGGAGGAAACTGCCTACGAAAAATAACAAGCACTACTGACCCTTATAGTTTCCCATCATCATCACTTGGGTTTTAACTGCCAGCATGTCTTGACGTTGGCAATCCATAGGATGCTTAACTCGATCTCTTGGACGGTAGCATACAGATCAAGGTTTTCAATGATTTTCAGTCTCTGCTGATTTCTTTTTAAGATCTTGTGTTGACTGGACTGTACATTATAAGGACTAGATTAAACAGGACTGGACTCCAACAGTTATCTCCTGAATATCCAACCTCTTAAAAAAATCAGGACATTATAAGACAGTTTTGTCAATTAAACTCTAAGCTGTAACTAATGTAGATAGGATGAGATGTTATTGGTTTTATATAATCAACCGTGATTTGCTGACCATATAACAAGATGGAACAAAAGAGGCTTTCTACATAATGTCCACTGATTAGACAGTATATGTCAGGAAAGGATTAGGCAATGCTTAAGACTGATGCAGCACTGAATTGAATTGTAATGAATATTTTCTATAATATCACCTTCTGTTTTCTTTCAGCCTACACAAGCCTGAGGAGTTATAATGACCACAGAGGTGGGGGCTGACACTGAACTTAATCCTGGGCCGGACAGTCCCGCCCAGGATGGGGTACATAATCCTGCTTTGCTCCCAAATGACACCCCACAAACGCCGGCAAATAACATAGACGGGCCGGGAGCCAGCGAGAGCTTGCGAAGATCTGCAGATGTGAGTATAAACATTGAGTCCTGCTGGAAAATTATACCCATGCATGATACAGTTGAATTGATGCTACTGGACAAGACCATTAATATTACACCAGTTCATATGTAAACAGCAGCTAGTAAATATATTTGAAATGTTAGGAGCTATAATTAAATGTATAGCATTAAGAGTTTAACATTTACAGGGGCTGGATTCAGGAGCACATCCAGTGGCTGTGGCTGTGGCTTTGGCGTTGCGCTCCCTGATGCCGAATTTCTTTCCTGCCAAGGGATATAAATGAACAAGACTGCAGTGTCAGATGCTGCAGTATGCTTACATCATTGCACTGGGCGCTCTGTGACTTTGCCAAATGCTTGTGTGTGTTATACGATCCGGCCCAAACATATAGTGCTTTGAATGTTTTCTTAGCTATATAGGTAAAAGAGATGTGCTGGATGTAAATGGCCCGCTGTGATGATAGCAGCCCAGCTCCCACTATATTTTGGGGTAAACAGCCTCAAGTTAGGGTTTTGCATAGGCAGTGAGAGCCCACACCGCTGTTCAGGTTTAAATCTAAACTGCTGGAATTTTAAAGAAATCTCACTTGCAGTGGAGCCCGTCCTGCACTGCAAGGGTTAAAGGAGAACTATGAGGTGAGTGATTTTCACTCAACCTCATAGTTCGAGCCGACGTGTGACAATGAAACTGTCACACGTCGGCTCAATACATCGGAAGTGAGCAAACACATAACGTCGCTCGCTCACTTCTCGATCATCTCCCTGCAGAGAGCTGTGACTGTCGCTCATGGCGCCCTGCAGGGATACTGCAGCTCGCGATATACTGAGCTTTGGGTCACGGGAGGACGCTAGTTTGTGTCCTCCCGTGACCCTTAGGAGAACTATGGGGAAAAACACTTACCCCATAGTTCTCCTTTAAATGCTGGGCTTTGCCTTGAAGCAGAGGAATAAGGTGTAATACTTGCTCCAGCAGGCTCTGGAACTCTCCTCTTCTCCCTGCTGCACTCGGATGTGGACGGGCCCTCCACCATGTCCTCATGTACTTGGTATTATTAAGATACGTCGCCAGCACTCACAAATGCAAAGAAAATTTTCTTTTAATTGCAAGAAGGCTGTGGCGCCTTCCTCAAGGCAACACTGTGTCGTCTTGAGGAAGGAACCCTGAGCGGCCCCATAACATTGGCATTCTGACCTATGTGATGTAATCTTGCCATAAAAAGACAATTTTCTTTGCATTTGTGAGTGCTAGTGACCAATCTTTATAATCTTGAGGTTCTGCACAACACCATCCATGGCAGTCATTTCGAGCACCTATTCCACACAGGTCACAGCGCTGTATGGTCTGCAGCAGTATGTACAATGACTGATGTACTTGGTAAAGTCAGCGTGCGGCTGCTGGCTAGGAGCACCTTAGAGAAGAGGCTTTGGGTACCTGTCAGACAGTTGGAGGGAGCTTGCTGGAGAGGGAAATAAGGTAAATATTACACGTTATTTCTCTACCCCTAGACAAAAATGAATCCTTGGGTGTATGGGGCCCCACTGCAAAGTAGTTTTTACATTCCTGGAGTCCTGGACTGGCTACAGCGAGCTTTATTGCTCTTCCAGCATTAAATGGAAATAGGCAGTATTGCCAGCATCTAAACAACTTAGGTAGTGTTTCCACAGAAACAAAATACCTTAAAGCTCCAACTAGGACACTACCTGCATGGAGTTTGCATGTTCTCTCTGTGCTTAGGTGGTTTTCTTCCGGGTACTCTGGTTTCCTTACACAATTCAACCTTCTTCCGGCTCTTCTTCCGGCTCCTGTCTAAATTGGTACTAGTATGTTTGTATATATATTAGGGATGCATCGATACCGGTTTTTCGTCATCGAGCACAAGTACCCATATTTATCTTTTGGTACTCGCCAATACCGAGTATTGATACCGGTACTTCTGGTAGCATGGAGCCAGCTTCCTGGGCAATCAGCAAGCTGGGCAGCATGTCATTACCCGCTGCCTGGCTTCTTGATTGCTTCTCCATGCTGTTTGGCGGACTCGATGCCGGCATCCCAGCCAATCAGCATAGAGCCCGCTTCCCGGCCAATCAGGAAGCCGGCTCCATGCTGGGAGGGAGATTTCCTCTGACCGGAAGTTCTGATAATGGGATAAGTATCAGAGCATTTCTAGTTCTAGTATTGGTGCATCCCTAGTATATATGCATGTAAGATAGGCAACCTTAGATTGTAACTCCTTGAGGGCAGAGACTGATGTGAATGTACAATATGTAAAGTGCTTCATAAATTGTCAGCGCTATATAAATATCTATAATAAATAAACTCCAAAATAAAATAAACTACATTTTCTAAATTCTTAAAGCAGAACAACAACCATAAGTTGCACTGGAAGAGTTAGTGGTTTCATTTGCCTTGGTGATGATGAATAAGGTGATATACTTATCTTATTCCTTGCTCTCGCATGCTTCTACCACTTCACTCGCCCCAAAGTTGCTTTTCTTCTCTGCCTAACCAGTTGCAGCTCTTTGATGTTAGCCTTCATAATGCAGAACCAGCAGTCCTGCATTGTACACAAGGTTGCCGAGGGACCGCCCACAAAAGCGAAGGATAGTGTTGGTTGCCAGAGGATTGAGGAATAAGGTAAGTATTTCACCCTATTTATCACGCCCTAGGCAGTAATACCTTGCAGTGCAGAGAGGAACTCAATGCAAGGGAAACTTTTTTTAATTCCCCAGAGTTCCACTTAATATTTTCTAGAACTGCTGTTTAATCAATACATGTTTCCTAACTTGAAAAGCTATCTGAAAGCTCCACTGAGCCGCTACCAGAAAGCACAGCGGGATCCTTGCTTCCGGCTCCCAGATGCATCTGAAAGGTATCTATGACAGACAGTGTTGTCCCTCCGCCCCCTCCCTTTGCTTTGCCATTTACTAAGCACAGCCTGTGATGACGCTGCGGCTATGCTTTGGCTCCTGCTGCGCTTTCCGGCAGCGGCTCAGTAGAGCTTACAGGAAGCAATTTAAGTAAGGAAACACTGATTAAACAAGACTTATAGAAAATATAAACAAATCAATATGTCTGGAGTTGGGCTTTAAAATACAAATAAATCATAGCCTGTCTGACACTCACTATACATCCAAGTCCCTCTCAGTCAAGAAGCTGAACCTTGTGTCCAGCTCCATAACTGACAAGGCTGCCAGCAAACCGTCTCTCTCTGTTTCTTCACCAAGTTATGAGAATCCCTTGTGCAGGAAGTTGCTTTCTCTAAAATGGATAACCTCAGCAGTAGCATAACTGGGCCTGATTAGGTAAAAAAGGGTGTATGTTTGCTCAATACACATGCGAGGTATGCTTCTTGCTTTGCAGCGCTACATAATGGTTTTGCATTTCGGCTTCTTCTCACAATAAAAGTCCATGGCTGTGATTCATCAAGCAACAACAGCACTTAAAGTTAACATCATCTCAATCAATATTACCATATGTCATTTTAATGTGTCTTGAGTGCCATTTAGCATGAGTTATAGCCAGCCAAATATTGTTTTTTAGATTTCAAAGGTTGGGAAAGAGATTACAAGTTTAGTCCAGTTTTTATTTCTGTGTGATTCCGTTGGATGATTTTCCGTCACTTCCTGGCCCTGTGGCGTTTGCACAAGCAATACGGGTGCTGGACAGAAAGGCAGAGTTAGCAGTATACACATTGTCAGATGTAATAACCCTTTCCAACTCCGCTAAGAATGTGTTTTCATTGTAACCATATTAGAAAGATTTCCTATCACTACCTGTCCTAACAGGAAGTGATGGAAAATGTGCCCAATATGGTCACAGATGGCAATACACATCTGATAGAGGCTCTGACCCTTCCTTGCTCTATATAAAACAAAATAAAATGTTTTGGCTGGGGTTTGGCTTTATTAAAGTGAACCTGTACTTTACCCATGCAGGGCATAGTAGCAAGTTTGCTTGATAGTCCTCTTCCTACACTGCTTATACCTGGGGTAGTCAACCTCGGCTCTCCCACTGTGATGGAAAGCCCCATTAGACATTGCAAGACTGACAGCCACAGGCTTGACTGCCGGAGGCAGAGTTATGATGGCAATTGTAATTTCACCACAGCTGGAGTGTCATGGTTGCCTACCCCTGTCTTACATTTACCTTCTGTGCATTCCGCTACTGCCCCTGATTGTCTGTTGAAGAGCTTACGCAGGGCACAGAACCCCCTCCCTGCCACAAACTGACAGCACTCAGACCTGCCAATTGGAGGTTCAGGTTAAAAAAATGCTGCCTCTTTGAAGGAAGGTGGAAAAGAGAAGGTATTTGACAAGGCTCCAGCAGGTGGACGGACATACATGCTACTTGTAGCATAATAAATTAGCTTGCAGCAAATTACTTAAAGGAGATCTATGAGGTGAGTGAAAATCACTCATCCTCATAGTTCGAGCTGACCTGTGACAATGAAACTGTCACACGTCGGCTCAATAGATCGGGAAGTGAGCGAACACATACGGTCGCTCGCTCACTTCTCGATCATCTCCCTGCAGAGAGCGGTGACTGTCAGTCACGTCTCCCTGCAGGGATTCCCCCCCTCCCCGATCCTCCAGCACTGACTGGAGGAACGGACGGGGGAGGGTGCGGGTACAGCTGGCTCTGCCTCTAGAAAGGCAGAGCCAGCTTTCACTCACGCAGTTGGGTGGATCTCAACAGTAATGTCGGGATCCGTCCCGGCTGCGGTGGTCTCAGTATACCGCAAGCTGTAGCTCGCAAAATACTGAGCTTTGGGTCACGGGAGGACGCTAGTTTATGTCCTCCCGTGATACTTAAGAGAACTATGGGAAAAACACTTACCCCATAGTTCTCTTTTAAGAGCAGCAAGAACAATGAAAGGTGATTGTTTTTTGGTTGTTTTCCCAGTTCATCACCCTAAATATGTTGTCCAAGGTATGTTTCTCTCGTGAACATTAACTAAAGTGCAGCTGCTGACCGCACTAGGAAAGAACAGACCTGGCAAATAAAACAAGAGTCCATTTTTCCCTATGTGGCCAAAGTGGTCAAACCTGAATGGAGTAATAATACACTATATATGCTAAAGTTTGTGGACCCCTAATTATCACACCTACCTACAGTATATGACCAGAAGTATGTGGACACCCCTTCAAATTATTGAGTTTAGATGTGTCCAGAGAAAGATACTGTTAATGCTACAGCATACAAAGACGTTTTAGTGAAGTAGTTCATTTTGGTGAAGGCCCTTTTCTGTTGACTGGGCCCCTGTGCATAAAGCAAGTTCCATAAAGACATGGTTTGAGGAGTCAGGTGTGGAGGAACTGCACCATACTAAGTACTTCTAGGTTGACTGGAATGCAGATTGGGAGCTGGTTCTTCTAGACCAATATCAGTACCTGACTTTGCAAATTCATTCTTGGCCGAATAAGCACAGATTCCCACAAACACACTTCAAAATCCTGAAAACGTCAGAGGAGTTGAGGCCGTTATATCCATAAACGGGCAAACTCCATACTATTTGCCATAATTTTGGAATGTGATATGCAACAAACTCGAATAGGCGTAAAGGTCAGGTGTTCACAAACGTTTGCCCAAATAGTATGTTTAAGAGTCTTCACCATTGCCAGCCATCTATGCATAGGAACAAAGAATCACAAAAGTGGGTCATCAACATTAGGGCAAAACGCTTTGTTGGAAATTTTTGTTTTGTAAAATATTATTGCCCGTGCCAGTAGGTGACACATATAGTACATGAATGCAAATAGGCTACAGGCATGTATGTATATCTGAATACTTAGAGAGGTGATATTGTTTCCTATTAATCCACTGCCTCCTAACATCAGTAGGTAGATTTAGGTTTATTAGCCTTTCAAAGGAAGGGGTTATCTAATGTATCAATAAGTGTGTTTGTTTTATGAACAGAGGTATTATTTAAGTGCTTTCTTCCATTTATGTGAATGGCAGAGTGAAGAGGGGCTTGATTCGGCACAAGATAGAACAACACCCTCCCACAATCAACGATCGCCGCAAAAACAGAATAGGAAACCGAAGAGTGCACTCTGCAGGGTGACACTTCTGGACTCCTCCCACTATGAATGTGAGATTGAGGTGAGAAATATGAAGGGATACATTAACACAGGCATACGGTGGATATGAAGAAGAAATGGCAATTTTATGATGCAGCAAAATGTAGTTTTCGTTTATAATTCTAAGGCCAGCAATACACTTTTATTAGCAGTGTTGTGAATCACTAACATTAAAGCGCTAGTGTAAGAGTTTACAAAGAAATGATAAGTAGCATTGGAGAATCAGAGATATCTTCAAGTATGCTTGCAAGTTTCAAAAAGTGGACCTTTCTGTAAATTTAGTTAAAGTATTTTGGAAAAATTGGCTCCTATCACTGCCCCTCATTCTCTTAGACAGCAGCTTTTCTCAGCCGGGGTTCTGTGAAGGCCCTACATATCCTTCATAGGTTGCAAAGAGTTCCTTGAGCAATAAACTATTTCTACCTCTCAAACAAGTTACCATTGACACCATTTACCTTTCTGTAAAGTAAGTATTATTATTTCCCACTGACCAACAAGGTAATGAATATTCTCTCCATTGAACACCAGTATAATGGCACTGTTCCCAGCTGACCACAAAGCTAGAGGGGCAACTCTTCACTGACCACTAATGTAATGGAGCACTTTACTGATACCCATGTAAGGTGGCACTACACAGACCAATAGTGTAAGGGGGAACCACACTAACCAGCAATGTAGTGGACCACTTCACTGACCACCAATGTAAGGGGGCACTTCACTCTCCACCAACGTAAGGGGGCACCTCACCGGCCACCCATGGGAACTTTTCCACTTAATACCAATGTGAGCGAGCACTATAATTATTATGGTCTGCTTTTCTTCTGTGGCCATTATTATTTGTTTTATTTCATTATTATTACTGAAAATATGTGGTATGGAGTAACCCTGGGTGTCAAATACACTAATTACATGACATTCCATACTCAGTTATTTATATTTCTATCCACAGCTTAATGTTTATGCTGATGTACCATAAGCTGTAGATATAATAATCACTGATAGGAGTTCCCTGAGACATGAAAGTTATTTTGTGGGTTCCTCCATGTTTAAAGATTTGAGGGAGGCCGGTATAGAGGATTACAGGAGGCTGGTTCTAAGTCAAATTCAGATAGTTAAACGATAATATGGAATTAGTGCATTAACTAGTATAGTTTTCATATCTTCCTAGAGTTTAGTGTTAAATTCAGCGAATCAGTCAGTGCAGTTGGGGCAATACAGACCATTCCTTTTTCAGTTGACTGAATATGTGGTCATGCATATGACTTTTCTGTGTTGCAGAAACATGCGCGGGGCCAGGTCCTGTTTGACACTATCTGTGGATACCTTAATCTCTTGGAGAAGGATTATTTTGGGCTGACGTTCTGTGACACTGACAGCCAGAAGGTAAAGCAGCCACTGTTTGATTTGATGTTATGCTTTATGCTGTTATGGTTTTACTGCAGTGAACACTTTACTGATCTTAGGACATTTATGTGCTTTGAAGAAATGATGCAAATCAAAAGTTTACCTATTTAGATAATCCCTGAATTCATCCTTCTACATCATCATTAGGGTCACCAAACTGGCCAACCACTTCTCCCATTGCGAAGCTGTTTTATAACAATGTTTATTGGTAACCACACAGCATGGAAACAACACCAAAGTGCAAGTAGCCCTGTGACTCTCCTGCTCTAAACCTGTCACTTTCATCTTTCAGAATTGGCTGGATCCCTCCAAGGAGATAAAAAAACAGATCAGAAGTGAGTGTGGAAAATTGTCTTGTTAACATTGCTTTTCCTCCATCTTTTGTTCTTTTCTTTTTTTCTATCAGTACTTTTAATGTTTTCTAACAAGATAATAAAAAGTTTTACATTTTACATACTCCAATGGAAGGTAAAAAAAACCTCCACTGAGATTAATGTTATATTTGCCTCCTGACTGAACAAAACTCCATTCCTTCCCTTCCTTTCTTCCTTCTCGTCTTTCCTTCTGCCTCTGCCTGTCCTTCTTTTCCTTTCCTTCCTTCTCTCTCTTCATTTTCCTGTCCCTTCTATCGCCTTCCTTCTTTCTCTTCCTTCATTTTCTCCCTTACATTCCTTACCTTCCCTCCCATTGTTTTCTCATTTCTCATCCTTTTCTGCCTTCCTTCTTTCCTTTCTATTCCTAACATTTCTTTTATGCCTTCCTTCTCTACCTCTCATCCTTCTCTCATTCCCATTTTTCTCTCCCTTCCATTTTTTTCTTTGCCTTGCTTCTCTCCTGTTCAACCTATCTCTTTCTGGCATTCTGTCCCTTACCTTCCTTCCCCCTTATCCTCTGTTACCTTCCTTCTCTCTTATCCTCTGTTTTTTTCCTTCACTATCTTCCTTCTCTACCTCCATGCTCTCCCTTCCTATCCATCTCTCCTTTCTTTTTCCCTTTCCTCTTTTCTCTTCTTTCTGTCCTTCTCTCCTGTTCCTTCCTACTCCTTTTTCCCCTCTACATTGTGTTTCTTCTTTCCCCACCTTCCTTCCTTCCTTGCCTTTCTCTCTTCCTCTTTTTCTGTCATTCTCTCCCCTCCACCCTTCCTTCCATTAAACTTTTTCTGACCACTCAACTTAGTCATGTCTCTGTTTATCTCCTCAGGTAGCTCCTGGTCATTTGGTTTCACAGTGAAATTTTACCCTCCTGACCCAGCACAGCTCACAGAGGACATTACAAGGTGTGGGGACCATTGTAGTGTGGCTATAGAAGGACTGTGTGTACTTTTGGGCTATTTACAAACATAAAATAGTTATATATATTGGTCATGAACCTATCACGGTAAATTCTGGTGGGCAGATGGTATAACCGTTTTATTTTCCTATAATGTCGTACAGCATTTTTCTTAGACATGCCGGCTATTACAAAATAAGGAGTGAATCTGAAGCAATAAAAGTAGTCATCATAGATATTGAAGGATGCAGAGAGGTATTGCTTGTTTCTAGTATTTCAGTTTAAAGCCCCAGCAACATTAGTATAAAGGAGCTGTTCTCAGAGCTTATGTTGAGACTGATAATAGAGCCTCACTATAAAGCCATTTCACAGTGGCTGTTATACATAGATAGACATTAAACAATGTAAGTGGTATAATGATAACTGATTACATTCAGGTATATTGTTCCTTTTTAATAGTTATTCTGTACATCCCAGGTATTATCTGTGCCTGCAGCTGCGTGCTGACATCATCAGTGGGCGCCTGCCCTGTTCCTTTGTTACACACGCCCTACTGGGATCATATACAGTACAGGCTGAGCTTGGTGATTATGACCCTGAGGAGCATAGTGAAAACTATGTGAGTGAACTCCGTTTTTCACCCAATCAGACGAGGGAGCTGGAGGAGAGAGTGATGGAGCTGCACAAGACATACAGGTAAGAGTAGGATGGTTTAGTTTCTGATGAGCAGTTTGCAATGGTGGACTGAAGGCACCCACACATTTCAGTCATTCAATGATCTTAGTTGCCTTTGAAAATCTAAGCATATGTTGTCATTTGTTCTAGAATTGCAATGGACCATATTAGGTTGAATCAAAGGGGTTTGTTCAATAGATTAGATATGCTGGAAAACTTGCATTCATTTTGAGTACTGTTGGAAGAGGTGACCCTTGGTTGAGGTGACCCTTTCACCACAAGGTCATTTGTAAACTAAGCCAACACTGTACAAGAAGAGCAGATATACTTCAAGTGACACTAAACTCAGGAGTTATACCTTAAGGGCCGGTGCACACTTAGGCGACACCCCCACCACGGGGCAATCGTGCACGATTCCGCGTGGATTGCCACACGGTCAGGTGTCGCCCAGATGTGCACCGATCACGCTGTGCGTGCCATTATTTTCCAATGGCACCCCAGTCGCACCGGGCGGATTGCGCGGTTTCCTTTTTCCTGCGATACTTGACACGCAGCTATTTTAGTCGTGTTCAGAAGCACGGGCTGAATCGCGGTGGGAAACCGTGTGATCCGCCCGGCGTGACTGGGGTGCCATTGGAAAATAATAGCATCCACAGCGCGATCGGTGCACACCTGGGCGACTCCTGACTGCGCGGCAGTCCGCGCGGAATCGTGCACGATTGTTGCGCGGTGGGATGTCGCCCAGGTGTGCACCGGCCCTAAAAATGCATTCAAGTACTTTAACTATTAACAAAAATGTATCTTATTTGTGTATCACTCGGCTGTAGAGCCTCAAATCATCTCTGAATTGGTGCTGACACTGTCCTTCTTTCTGGAGGGGGGCTACTTCTGTTCCCCATCGTCCCTGTGTGTGTTGTAAAGTAGCCACTGCTCCTGTGATGGACTACAATCTCAACTCCTGAGTTTAGTGTCACTTTAACTTTCCCATGGCCCATGTCTTTAAACTCCGCTGCATAGCTGCTTCCTGGCCACTGCAGTTATTTGACACTTCCTAATGTGTTGAATATCTGCTCCCCACCCCTGCATATTGCGGTGCCTCCTGTCACCTTTTATGTCTCATAGTGATGAGAATTTGAAGGCACGGCTCCTCAGAAAGGTAGGTATGCAGGCTCTTCTTTTACAGCTTGGGCTTCGGTTACAAGTGACTTTGATTGATCAGGAAAAAAACAGCTGAATAATCATTTTAAAGAAAATCATATTGCCAGTATTCTTTTTGGAAAATTAAAAATGCAAAATCGATTGCTACGCATTAGATTTTACTAATCCCCTGAGCCAATACGAATGATGGCATTACTGTAAAGTTATATTTGGGCTGAGTGCCTCTTATTGGTGCTATGAGGTCCATCTCCGGCTACAGCTTGTATTGTAGCTTATAACATTTCTACCTACCTTATGTCATCACTGTCTTTGCTGTTTATAAAAATCACTCACTATGTTATTAATATGTATCTGCTAGGTTACTTCCTATAAGGTCATTAATGATAATAGCCCAATTAAATTTTAAAGCTGAACTCCAGGCACAATATTACCAAATAACCTCCAGACAGATTGCATAATTAGCTTAACAATAAACCTATTGTTCATCTTCCCTTTAATATAGTTACATAGTTACATACATAGTATTTGAGGTTAAATAAAGACACAGGTCCATCAAGTTCAACCTTTGTGTGTCTGTGTGTCTGTGTGCCTGTGTGTTGTGGGTATATGAGTCCCTGTGTTGTCTTAGTTTTTAAGAATCCCTGTACCCCTGTATGTTACAGTCTCTTAGGACGGTATCTAATTGATTTTTGAATGAATCAATTTTCTCTGCTGATACCACTGCTTGTGGCAGAGAGTTCCTGAATCTATCCACTCTGACTGAAAGGAAGCCCCTATGCCCTGTGTGGTTAAATCTTTTCTCCATCAATTTTAGGTGGTGGCTTCTAGTCTTTGTAAGAGAGTTTACAGTAAAAAGTTTATTGCTGATGTTGCCAATATAATTTACATTTTGTTCCACCACTTCTTTCACCCCCTTTTTGCCCGTTGATGATGCAACTTGATAATTTCATGCAGAAGACCAATAACACTGTAAGACTCCTGAACAGTAGAACCCGGACTGAAAAAGGAAGGAGCAAGACTAGGGGCTAGTCCGGTGTCCATCATGGATATATGCAGACAAGGGTGGAGCTTTGCTTTTGCTCCTTCACTACCCAATCATAAGCTAGGGTGGGAATGTAACAAAGCGGTACTGCTTAGCTACAGTCGAGGAGATTCAGGCACCAGGTTCACTGTGCTGACCAGCAGGTGTGTGTAGATTCCAGGTCTGGAATTGTATTCAACTGTTTGGCTGGTCAATGGGCAATCAGTCAATGCACACGGAGAGGACACAGAGTCCTTCCAACATCCCTAACCATTTGATCCACATAAAGAGTCCACTGACAATGGTACTGATGGCTAAGACATTCAGAAGTGCAGGGGGAGGAGGAGCAATTGAAGGTTTCTACCTTTACTGCTGTCCATATAGTAACCTTAATCATAGCTCATGATGTAATTGGTAGGCCTTTGTATACAATTATACAGCTTCACACACAGTATACTTGTGGCATTCTTTAATCTTTACCAAAACACGTTCATGGTCATGGTCAGTGAGACCCTTAAACACACCAGTGGTGAGACCTTGGTGTTCGAGCCCTTAAAACTCTCAAGAGTAGGGTCCCCGTTTCTGGAGCCTCTGACAGATATAGGAAACCTTTGGGTTTATGTTGCATTGACCTGGGCTAAAGCTTCTAACATCTGTGTATATTTTTTCAAAACAGGGGGATGACGCCAGCTGAAGCAGAAATACATTTTCTAGAGAATGCCAAAAAACTATCAATGTATGGAGTGGATCTGCACCATGCTAAGGTAGACTTGGAAGGTGGAAAGGGGTGGGACTAATCTCAAATTGTACATGAACCGTAGCTGCCTAATTGTAGTTGTTTACTGAGGTACTGAGTACTACATTGTAGGAGGCAGAGGAGAGTATCACATGTGCCCAATACAAAGATGCGCCAGGCATTTTAGTGAGCTTTAGTGGCAGATCATTTGGTGGCGAGTGCTAGCAAGGCAGGAATAGGATTATTAGGGTGCAATGCTACTTTAGTAAACCTATTGACAGTACAGAAGTCACTTTAACTCTTTCCTGGAGATCCTCATGAACATGCTGGTTCTGTTCTGCATGATGACATTTCCTGGTGTTTGTTTTAAGAGCTGCAGGTTTCTAAAAATGGGGTTAATCAGTACAACATTAGTGACTATGGAATAGCTCACACTAAGGGGTATATCTATAAACAATTGGCAGAGCCATTCGTCCTGCCAATCTCTGTGAACATTCTTTGTGTGTAAATAGAGGAAATATCAAACTTCTCAGTAAATTTTCTTTTCAGGTCGAACATAATTTAATACCACATTATGTTCATTAGATGGAGCTGAGGAGCCTAAGTGTTTATTTCCTATGCTCCTCAGCTCCATCTAGTGGCCATAGCATGGTATTACATTAAGTTTGATTATTTATAAATAGACCCCTAAAAGTGTCTTTGGTGGCAAATTTTGTAAATCTAGACCTGCTGCTTTATCTTAATAGCCATCCATGTTCCTTCTTTTATAACGCTATGATTTTTTTTTTTTGCCAGGACTCTGAAGGTATAGATATAATGCTAGGCGTCTGTGCCAATGGGCTCCTCATCTACAGAGACCGTCTGAGAATAAACAGATTTGCCTGGCCCAAAATCTTAAAGATTTCTTACAAGAGGAGCAACTTCTATATCAAGATCCGGCCGGGCGAGGTAAGTGGTGTAAAAAGTACATTAGAGAGTGCAAGAATAGAAACTGTGCATGAATACTGGAGTAAAAGAAAGTAAGGCTGTTGTCCAACCAATCAGATTCCAACTGTCATTAGCCTGGTACAGTTTTGAATGTGAAAGAAGGCTTATGAGTGGTTGCTTTTGGTTACACCTAATTTTTCCTTTACTTTGGTTTTCATTACACAGCCCCAGTATGAGAGAGATTTAACAATCTTGATGTAAGGCCTGTAAGTAATATCTTACTTGTTTTCTATTCTAGTATGAGCAGTTTGAGAGCACCATCGGGTTCAAACTACCCAATCATCGAGCTGCAAAACGCCTCTGGAAGGTTTGCATAGAACATCACACATTTTTCAGGTGAGTTTCCATTCACTATCATCAGTGTAGACACTATTTTTGCTAGAGTAATAATATAATTTACAACAGGCTGAACCTACTTAATTGCCGAATAAAATTACAGCACTTTGGAACAGTAAAAATTGCAACTTACAATTTAATTCCAGAGAAAGTATTTAGCTGCAAAATTATGTAAGGAAATTTAACATATCTACTGGAGAACAGCTGGGGAGGGCTACGCCCGCACTGCAAGGGTTAAGTGCTCATTTTGGTTTAGTGGCTAAAATAAAGAAAGTATACTCCATAGACCAAAGCGAGCAGTTAACCATGGCGGTTAATTTTTTGATTGCCTGGAGTTCTTTTTTAACGCTGATCAGTCTGACATGCCTTTACCACTACTATTTGCTACAGTGTAAATAGCCACATACAGGTGAAACTCGAATAATTAGAATATCGTGCAAAAGTAATTGCAGTAAGTGCTGCAAAAGGGGCCCAAACCAAGTACTGAGTACATATGCATGCTTGTACTTTTCAGAGGTCCGATATTGTTCTATGTACAATCCTTGTTTTATTGATTGCATGTAATAATCTACTTTTTTGAGGTTGTGGATTTGGGGTTCTTGGGGTTTTCATGAGCTGTAAGCCATAATCATCACAATTATGACAAATCACGGCTTGAATTATCTTGCTTTGCATGTAATGAGTCTATCTCATATATTAGTTTCATCTTTTAAGTTGCATTAGTGAAATAAATGAACTTTGCACGATATTCTAATTATTCGAGTTTCACCTGTATATAGATTATAATCAGGATGCACAGGTACAGCTGAAGATCAGGGATAAGCATTAGTAAAAAAAATGGAAAAGGTTCTCTTCCTACCTTAGTCTATCCAAGACTAAAGCTGACCATACACTGAGCAGATTTCAGCAAATGAACGGGCCAATATTCACTCAATGTGTGGCCCGGTGGGCAGCCTCCTTCACGGCATCCTTTGAACTGGAAATCAAACCAGCCAGGTGCCAAATTCTCGGCCAAAAAGTCACTGCAGCCAATTGGCTGTATTTTGACAGCAGCACACCTGCAGCAGCCGCAGCGGGAGATGCAGCCATCCATGCTGTTTAGTGTTCAGCTCTCAGGCTAAATGAAAAAAATCTACTAGCGTATGGCCAGCTATAGGCTCATTCATTCCTCTCTCCTGCATTGCATTGCCTTACCCCACATGTGTCAACATGCAGCATTTTGTGTAAGTGTGGTGCAGTAAGGAAGCCCATTCATTTTTAAATCATACAGGTTTTAATGGACCTGCAACATTTTTTCTACAATGTACAGTGCAAAAACAGATGGCACAGCAACACACTGCATTGTGTCGAATTTCCGATTACGTGGTAAAACCAGCTTTTCGTTGTGTGCTTCCACAACATACAGGTCTGAGTCAGTGACATGCGGTACTCTCCGTGCTGGGTTAGGCATTTCCCCAGCCCCACCAAAAGCCCCACACCCTGCCTCCAGCCCACCAAAGCCCCACCCCCAGGATGTTGAAGCCCCGCTCGCTCAACCCAGTCAGCAAGCTACTGTGAAGGAGGGAGGGAGGGAGGAGACAGGGAGGAGCCTCCGTGTTCACTTGCTCGTCACTGGTGAGGCATTGAGATCGATGTCCTCAGTGTTTTCTTTTCTTTCTATATTTTGATTGGACAGCTTAGACCAACGGCGCTTTGCCATTGGTCCAAATTATCCACAGAGCTCACGCCACTAACATAGAGTAGAGGCTGTTGCAGCTCTTGCCTCACTATATTACGTTACACAAGTGGGGAAGCCTGCTGCTGTGCAACCTAACAATGCTGTCAAAAGCAGGATGCAGCGCTACCTGTAATTAACTGGCAGCGCTCCGGCCATGACAGGTTGCACAGCGGGGAGGCTTTCCATGCTGTGTAACCTGTTACAAGCCGCTCTGAATGGAGAAAAGGCTGTCAGCTTCAGGCTTGAAGCTCACAGCTTTTACCTCCACAATACTAGGTGAGGCTCTGCCTTACCTGCCTCCTTTCCCTGCTGTGTAACCTGTTACAAACCACTCTGAATGGAGAAAAAGCTGTCAGATTCAGACTTGAAGCTGACAGGTTTTTCCTCCATAATACTAGGTGAGGCTCTGCCTCCCCTGACCGCACGTCCCTGGATTGAATGGGCTCTATGTAAACCCAAGAACAAAAAATTTCATATATGACCTTATATATAAATGTCCTTGGTGATTTGGCTGCATCACTTTTCTGTTTTACATAGTTACATAGTTAGTCAGGTTGAGAAAAGACACATGTCCATCGAGTTCAACCTAAACTTTTAGGATTTTACTTTTTTTTTCACCTGGTGATCCTGCCAGTAACACACTTCATGTCCTAGGATGTCCATACAGGAATTCTATGCATTTAATCGCATAGGAAATCTAAATGTACGTTTACACGGAGGCTGACAAAATAACCCCTCAACCCTTGTCAAACTTCAAATTCCATCGTCAGACATTTCAGACTGTGTATTCTGGAAAATGACATTTTTTTCCCTGTGTGTTTATTGAGACATGGCTGTCTTGTGTAATACCAGCATGTTCACAGCGCAATGTGTGGGCTCTGTACTGCACAAACCATGTGGAAGGTCAGACGAGGACGCCATAACAGACCAGATTACAGTTTTGGCTCTGCAGTGGCTTTTGCCTTATTCATAATCATACTGCTGTGTATAAACCAAAAAACTGCTTACACAAAGCAAAATGTAACCCTTTCTATCCTATTCCCAGGCTGGTCTCTCCAGAGCCTGCCCCCAAGGGCTTCCTAGTGATGGGCTCCAAATTTCGATACAGTGGACGTACGCAGGCGCAGACCCAGCAAGCAAGTGCTCTGATAGACCGGCCGGCTCCAAACTTCAAGAGATCCGCCAGCAAGCGCTATACGCTGTCTCAGAGTGCCGAAGGGGGTACGCACAACATGCAGATTTATGCAACATCATCAAATGAAGCAATTTCATGAAAAGGGCACAGAATGAATGCGTTTGTCCACCAAACTTAAAGATTAATTTCCTTTTTTATTCAGTCAGAGAGAGGTTAAGAAGTAGTCATAGTTATTTTCATGTTAATGGCACATTCCAGGGGCAAAATTGAGCATTCAACTTTGATAGGCATACAGGGAGCATAGCCTACCTGATCTGTAGTTCAGTTCTTCACCCAGGCATTGCTGTACTGCACCAGTCCCTTCTGTCTGTTATCTGGTGCTCCTGGAACATACCTGCTGGTGATGCTGGAACACAATCAGAAAGCTTGATGTAAAAAAATGTCAGTACTATGATATATCACACAGCCACCAATCTAAAAGCTGCCTTGGTAGGTTGACTGTGATTGGTGAAGCAGGTAGAAGACAGAGACAGAAAATGACATAACAAATCTTCTTGCCATTCTACTGATCTTGTTAAGAGGTATGTGGGCTTACTCTGAAAGGGCAGATTCGGACTTCAGCGCAGCTGCTGTGTTTACTGGATTGCATTAGTAGCTCACTAAATGCATTCAATTGTTGCCTAGCATTGATATTTCATTTCCATTTGAACAGTTTTTGTAACTCCTTAGGTTAAGTACAAATGAGCAACAAAAGTATTAACCTGGCATGCGTTCTTGACACCCACTGAGCATTTCCTGACACCTCAGCAGAAAGAGTGTATTGATCTAAATGGCTCAATACACATAAGCCTTCAGCAAATGGGTCAATCGTCCTTCGATGTATGTTGCTGAAATGAATGTAGACTGCAGCACCTGTCCAGAGATACTGTTCCTTGTTCTCTTAAAGGACCCATCCATACATGCTTTAAAGAAATATGTATTAAGGTAGTACTGGAAGCTACCACTGCTGACCTCCCCTATGGAAAATACTAGATCCCTGGCTGTCATGTTGATCCAATGGCTTTGCTGACCTAAGAACAAGTATGCATATAAAGATTTGTGATTTCACTTTGGCTTTTCTGATTTGCATGCTTGTTCTGGGTTCATTGTTCAGAAAGTACTGAAGCCAGAGACAGCCAGACAACTAGCATTTCTGGAAGTAGAACAGTAGCAGCAGACTTCATATTCCTCTCTAGTCACATATAACCACTAATTAAAATATTAGATTTGGGTATGATCCCAAATAGCCACAGTCTGCTGATAGCCAACCCGTTCCCTAGCAAGTTATACTCAATATGGTGCTCCTTTGCCACTTCCTCACTTTGCTGATGTAAAAGACCAGAGTTTAGGGTATATAGGAGCATGTGACCCCTTCCCACCCACCTTATGTGACAGTGGTCAGGTCTGAACAGCCAATTACCTACCCCAAACACGGACACGTGGAGAGCAGCAGTGACTTCATCCACCTGGAAAAGCTGTGACATCCTCTGACAATAGAGATTACTCAGGGTGGACTCCTGCAGCAGGGAGACAGTGAGGTAGTATGGATTAGTGAGTATACTTTGCTGGGAGGTGGGCTATCAACAGACGCTGTGACTTTGCGCAAAACGTTTTAATTATTTGCCATCTCTTTTATTAGCTGAGACATATGTACAGAGACCTGACACATCCTGCCATTCATACTTGTCCTACCTGTTCCTGACCTGTCTAATTTACGTGCCAGGGCCATACAGACGAGCTACTCTGTGGCCCAATTTGTGTAGAAGCCAATACAACTGGAAATATGCTTTGAATTGCGTGAGGACACTCTTACCACTGATGAAGATACCGTTTCTACATCAGAGATTGTTCCTTGTGGGAATCAAGCTACAACCCGAGCAATGCAAGGGTGCAGCTTTGTCTGCCGGGGCAGAATAAAAATATTACCGCTACTTGTGTAGAACTTAAGATTTCGACAAAATAGGGGATTCCCGATTTGGGCTATAAGGAACATTATTATGTACTAAGGGAGGGTTGGACAAATCCCAGGAGCCATGTACCCAGTGTTCATTAAAATTACAGCTGACCAGGGGCGTAACTAGAAATCACAGGGCCCCATAGCAAAATCTTGTATAAGTCCACCTGATAACCCAAATAGCCCACCTAATGTGACCCTGCAGAGCCCACCATAGACTTTCTATGGTGGGCTCTGCAGGGTCTCAGGTGGGCGGTCCAGTCCTCTTACCTGTCCGCCTCCTTCTCCTCCATCACTGGGCCCCACCTCCTCCCTCGCCGGGCCCGCCTCCCCATCGCTAAGACCTGCCTCCTTGATCGCGGCGTGTTTCTCCCCACAGCTGCCAGTGACAGCCAGCAGCCTGAAATGTCATAGCGACCCAGGCGGGCCTGGGTCGCTATGGTGATTGTTACGCCACTGCAGCTGACACCTAACTTTTTAGGTTTTCTCCAGTTGTTGTCAATGGAGCTGGCTCCTAAAAAATCCTGCTGGCTTCTGGATTGGACAGACTGGCTCTTGGATTGGACAGACTGGCATCTAATGTCCATATTAATGTGTCTGCCACTGTGCTAAGGGGTTGTATAAAGGGCTGGTTAATGAAACATGAAAAACTTGTTTCATATAACAATCTGCACTGAAAAAAATCTGGCATATGGTTGTGATATGAGCAACAAAGACTGTTTTATTATGCTTATCAGGTATATTATTATTGACATATGTTTTACTGGAGAATGCTGCTCCACATAAATAATCTCATAGGAAGAATTACAGTTATGAGATTCAGTACTAACATATCTGTAATATTATAATTTCTTATTTATATTCTCTTGCCTCATATTCATATACACCCACTCACTGCTCTTTAAAGGAATTTCTAAACAGTCTGCTTTGAATGAGAATCATGAATCCACCCCAGAGAAGAATCACAAGACAACTCCGGGAGAGGGAGAAGAAGAAGAAGAAGAAGAAGAGGAGGAAGAGGAGGGGGAGGAAGAAGTGACCACTCCAACCAAAATCAAAGAGCTTAAGGTAAGATGACCTCTACGTACATATCTAAATCATGCATCTACGTGTCTATACCAATATGCGTTTGTCGCTTGCAAACATTTGAGACCTTAGTTGTTTATACAGGGATTAATTACTTGGCAAGAAATATAGGTTTAGATCCATTGATAATATGCCCACATATAGGACAATTCCAACATACAAGGTTAATAAATGCTTGCTTAGATTCTGCAGGGGTAGAATGGAACATGCATATGTACAGGCTTTGCGGTTACCACAAGTCACAGGTGTGAACAGCCCCTAAAGGTGTCTGTGGGGTCCTAGACTTTATTGATTGGGTCCTAAGTTTTACATTAAGAAGCTCATCCCTGAACTCTGTTGAAAGTTGACTGTAACAAGGTAAATGGCCAGTAACCCATTCTAACAAGGTGGCTCTTTAGTTAGTATAGGTAGGACAGAATTCCTTTGTCATTCTACATGTTTAATTAAAATCATTTATTGTTTGCTTGACTGATGCCGGATCATCATAGTCAGGCCACCCTGATCTTGTGATCATGCACACTGAAATTATCTTTCCAGACAAGGATGGCAGGTTAGAACAGTGATTATTACTCTTACAAGGAGTATTGGATCTCTTGCATCAATGTCCACAATGTGAGCATCCAAGTACAGAGTGGCCTTGCTACTTAAAGCATTTAATTAACCCTAGCAATGGCGTCAGTGCGCTAATTTACACGTCTGCAGCAGTTGTAGCTCAGAGTTCCTGAGAGTGATGAATAAATTGAGTCAGGGTTTGTAATTTACAGTATGTCTGCAAGTCTGTGTGTCTTGTGTCTGCATGTTTAAATAAAGTTTGTTGCTAATAATTTCGCTCTCTCCATCAATAAAGTTTGTTGATAATAATTTTGCTTTCTCCATATATTTTGTAGCGTTTGTGGCATTTCATTTTTTGTACCACCATGTCTGTGTGCCATGCTCCATAGTTTGTCCTCGGATAGAATTCCCAGTGCCATGGGCACCGATCTACAGTTCCATGTAGTCATATTTGTCTGTATGTACAGTTGTGTTTCTCACACTCACTCGCTTGCTTCTGTTTCTTGCCTATTGCTACCAGTCGGAGCAAGAGAGCACTCCCCGGCACAAGGAGGTACCCACTTATAACCAAACATCCATTTACCTATCCTGGCTCCCATCCACCTGTCCTATAACCCAGCATCCAGCTAGCTCCCCCTGTACCTACTGATCTACCCCAATATCAACCTCTTCTCTTCATAGAAGCCATCACCCTGTCTTATAAGCTATCCTATACTCTGTTCACCTGTTACCCCTCCTCCCAACCACACATATAAGCTAATCTAGAGTCACAACAACCTAATAATGAATCAGGTAACTGAAACCAAGTGACCACATTTACAATGGACTCTGGACCAACTCATCCAGATGAGGGATATTGATCTAAGTTGAAGGTTTTTATATGCCTCAGACTAACGAGACATATTCGTTTAAAGGAAACCAGTTCTGATAGATACATATAAGTAGCAGTTTATTATTAATAATCTTATCAATGAGTGTTAATGTTTAACTGCTTCAGCTCTATACCCTTTATAGACTTGAGCAATTTTTACATTTCCACCATGGGCCTGTTTATTTGGTGACAAAAAAAAAACAACATAAATTGTTATTTTTGGGAAAACTAAATTCTCATTTGGCAATATTGTTTTGCATTAATTATTTTATTTTCTATATAATCTATAAACAAAAAGATGTAAAATTTTAAAAAACGTTTTCTATTTTTTCTGTTTTGATGAGTGTTAGCTGTAAAAAGCAGTTTGCCGAATTAAAAAAGACAAGGACAAAGTAATTTGCAAATAAAAAAAGGTGTTTTTTTTTTCAATTTTGCAAATTTACTTCTTATACAACACTGAAAAAAAAGTAGCGAATTAAAATTAAAAAAATAATGGTAAAAAATAGTATCTGAAAGTATCATTTTACACAGGAGTGGTTGCATTTTGATAGCCGCTTTTGCTGTATAATACAAAGCAATTACCCACTGTCATTTTGACCGTGCGTAATTGCCAGTAATAGCAGCGAGGGGAGCGGCTGCAGGGGGAGAGGGATTGCACGTAAAAGATGTGTCCTAAAAACTTTGTTGAAGTTTTTTTAGGGTGTATCTCTTAGGTCTAACCTAAGTGGGTAATAACCTTATATGCATGTAGAGAGGTAACTGAGCTGATAACAATAATTATAACTACACTTTACCTAAAAACTATACATATGAACTTGTCATAGCAGCCTCTAAAAAAATGTCAATAGGATGTTTAACATAAATACTTCCTGCAGCCTCCTGGCTCTGAGTACATCCTGCTGTGCATCTGCTAACAGGAGAGTTCTATGCAATGCATCTCTCTGGTCTGCAAACAGCTCCCTCTAGTGGAGCCAATGAATAGCTTGTATTCCAGCATGTTGCTGGAAACAGAATTTACCTTCACTAAAGGAAACCTTTCATAGTAGAGTTTTTCAAATGCAGGGGCAAGTACAAAGGCATTAGGTATATTCAAAGTTAATTTATACTTTGCATTTCCTGATGTAAAGAAGACCGCAATAGAGAGAATTTACAAATTTGCATATGAATTTTAATAATAAAATATGATATAATGTGTCCTAGAAAATATGTTTCTGCAGGTGCCCTTGTATTATTCCAACAATATCCTATTAAAAACCAGTCTGCCATTAGAGGCCTCAGTCTTTGTCTAGGCAGGAATACAGCTGCCCCAAGTGCACTGTCACAGGTCGCACCCTAAAAATAAATGTAGTCCGCTATACGTAGAACTGTCTCTGCAGGTCTGTATTCAACAATCTAGCACTGGGCAGGAAAAATATGCCATCTAAGTCTATGGGATGTAGTGCACAGTTGCTATCAGCCTGGCACTAGATGCAGATATCCCAGGAGGCCGGAGCCTTCGTGAGAGACAAGTATGGATGTGTGGGGGATAATGGGGCGAACCCAGCTCTGTGTATTCTTGGGACTGGGGAGAAGTTGTTTTTAAAGTGAACATGTACTTTAATGAGAATTCTTTCTTATATGCCATCATTTGGTTTTGTAGCCAAATCAACTGGGTGTAACTGGGAGTTCTGGTGAGGATATCTTCAGCCATCATTTGGCTTTACAGCCAAAGCAACTGGGTGTAACTGGGAGTTCTGGTAAGGATATGTTCACACTGAAGTCCCCAAGATATTCAGTATCTAGAAAAGAGAATGTGATTTGGCCAACAATGCAAAACCGATGTATCATTAACGGGTTAGAGTGGTGACCTATTTAGTTAGACGTCATTGCAGCAGTCACACACAGCAAATTTGACATTTTTGAGACAGAACAGTGTTGTACACAACATATTAATATGATTACCTCATTATCATTACGTAGGCCTACTCAGGCTCTTAAACAATCATGTGCAGTCTGTGGTAGGTGCTGGCTGCCATAGGGGTCCTTTGCAATGCAGCTTTGTCTTTATGTATGGAAAGTTCATACTATTTAACACTTCTATACATGACATAGCATACATACAACTTTATAAGCATATGTGTGTCTACAGCTCATACAGAGAGTGCAATTAATACACACATATAACAGGTTGTAGATGGCCTTTGACATCTCAAAGCCTGAAAATCGGAAAAAAAAAAAGTCAAGCTGGTGGAAACTTGTAGTAGCCGAGGCTTTTAAAAGGGGTAATGTTATGGGGAAAGGTTAATGTACACAGGTATATAATGCCAAAATAAAATTTTGTATATTTCCCATTATATTCAGAGAAGACTTCAAGAGCCTGAATTAGCAAAGTGGAGTCAAATGGTTAATAATAATAGCCAGTTAAATAAGAAATATTGTATAGGAATATCTCATATTTACCACTTGCAGTCAGTAGAGAAAGCTCTATGCAATAGCAAGGGGAATTAATATGTGGCTGCTGCACATAAAATAGAGCAAAATATCATCTTAACAGAGAGAGAGATGTAGTGAGTAATGAAAACAGGCTGCCAAAAAGCTTGTAGGCAGTGCTGGGCTTTCTAATTAGAAAGCTCAGTATGTTTTACAGACTGATTTTAATGCATGGAGCCTGCAAAAAATGTTTATTTGCAAAATAAAGATTATCTAAAAATATATATAAGATGAAAAACATTGATTCATGACTTGTAAATTTTAAAAACTAGCCAAAACATTATAGTTTCCCTTTAAATAAATAAAGCAGTGGGTAACACAACAAAGACCCCGGCATTGCAGTTGTTTGTCTGCCCCCACTCTCCTCCTTACCATTCACAAAACAGAGCCTGAAGCTGTGTGTTTTGTGGATGGTAAGGAGAAGTGGGAGATGGAGACATGATGGCAGCGCCGGGGTCAATGAGACCTGCAGCACTTATCACATCCGAAGTGCCCAGGAAGTACAACAGGAGCTGTACTAATCCGGGCATGTGAACTAACTGATTTGCAGGACTAGATGTATACCTGCATGATGCCAATTGTCTTTTGAGGAACAAGAATCTTTTGCTGCTGTTAAACCTGTAAAGGTAATGGCGCCTGGAATTGGGATTTAAAATGATTTTGGATTGAGTGGCAAGGGTTACAACCCCTGTACGGCTTATATTGCCACCTGTGACCCTACCGGTGATATTGACTCTTTCTGTTTGTCCTGGTGGCTATCGTCTAAAAGTGAGGAAAAATCAAGTTTTAAGTTTCCTCACTTTTGTGTCTAAGGGACAAGAAGTGAAAGGAAATCTCTCAAATGGGGCACACCAAACCTGACAGGAGTTTAACCCATTAACTACTCTATCCAAAAAAAGTATTGCCTTCAGATATATTTTAACTTGATTAATACATACCCTCCATAACTACCTGCCCACCCTAGCATGTTCTCATACAAAACTTCCTAACAACTCTTTTCCTGCCACCTAGAAACCTTGTTTCCCTCCTTTCCTACCTATCTGCACGTACTTTCTCATCTCAGTACACCTTAAAATGAACCTGTGCTCTGGTTTAAACATTTAAAAGTGGAAGTTCTGCCAAAGAGCAGACACCCAAACATGTGCCCCTGTCTGATCTAGTTTTACTTTGTTACTGGGCCCTGACTTGTGGTGACTTTATGGCTAAGCACCATCACTGCCAGCTTTCTGTCTAGTGTGAGCGCCTTCACCAGCCACTGAGACAGGGTCATTGGACATGGCAGGTGACAGGGCTTAACCATTAGGTTAGGGAAAATTAGGTCTCAGTAAAAAAGTAAAACTATAAGAGGCATAATACCATCTTCTGGCTAATAAAAGGAAATGACAGGTATCCTATGATGTCTGCTCTTGAGCAGAACCTTTTTTTATTATAATATGGAGTACAGGTCCGCTTTAAAGAGTCTGCTGTTACACTGGAACGCCAGGCCTTCCAGAACCCTGCACCTAGCATATCCATTTTCAAAACCACAGGCTTTAGTATTACGGGAACCCCTTCACTGCCAGAGAGGTATGGTTCACGTGGTAGAGTGAAGGGGTTACAACTGGCCATTGACTTGTGTTTGTTATATCCCTTCCTTAGTTCTTGGACAAGTCACAAGATGTCCTACTGAAACATCAGGCCAGTATTAATGAGCTGAAAAGAACCTTGAAGCAGCCAAACAGCAAACTAGTTCATAGAGAACGTGGGCGAGAGAAGAGGCTGCCATCTTCCCCTACCTCCTCATCACCCAAACCAGAGGTAAGGTTACTATGATAGAGTTAAAGTGCCAGCCACTAAATGTTCTGTACATATATAGGTAGCCAATGATGGGGAAATGGGAAGATAGCTCACAGCAATGCTCTGGGTGCCACCAGGACAGGAACTAAGGGAAAACTCTTTGGATATATACCGTATATACTCGAGTATAAGCCGAGTTTTTCAGCCCATTTTTTGTGCTGAAAAATGCCCCCCTCGGCTTATACTCGAGTCAGCGTCTCGAGCACTGTGGAAAGTGGTCAGGTTTCTTCTTACTTACCTCGCCGAGCGTCGCGTCACTAGGAGAACTATGACATGAGTGATTACCCCAACTTTTATATTCACACAGGTAGCATGGACACCTCAAAGAGTCCACCTTTGGGACCATGTTTCATGCTACACCCATATTTAGGGAATAACATGGAACATGGTAGTATTACCCAATCCCCACCGTCAAACTCTCCCACGCGTACCTGAATTGTGGCTGCTTATCCCCGCAGCATTCTGTTATTTTTATTTATAAAAATATGTATATGGCTTGCTCGTATGGCTTGCTCGTATAGCCGCGCCATCCATTTACAGTGATCTGTGATGAGGAAGACTACAAATCTTATCTGCAACTGCAGCGAAGGGACTCATAGATTGCAATGTCACTTGTATTCCACGGTTTACTTGCTGCAGCCCCATAACAGAAGGTCTGTACCTCCATACAGACCTGGGGATAAAAGTAAACAATACAGGAGCCTCTGTATTGCATGCACTAACTGATGATGGTTTGTTCAAGACAATACACTAAGGCAGGAGGAACAGGTTAAGGCACACTATGGAGCTGCAGGCTCACATTTACAAATTAAGGTAGACGTAAACCCTAACAGCTGGGTATCAAAAATAATAACTATACTGTATATCTATATATTTTTTTCAATAAAATACCCTTTTCCACCCTTTGTTGCATTTCTGCTCTATTGGTCTCCTGTACCCGCTATGCAGCCATTTCCTGTCTATAAATACCAGCAATGGCTGCATGGCATTTCTCAGGGTGAGGTACCTGATGGTGAGAACGGTGAAACATGTCCACATAATGTGTGTTGAAATGATCACATGTAGTCTCCTACCAGAAACCTGTGCGACAGGGTGACAATGCAAGAGCAAGGCAAGTGGCCTGGGTTTTGGGTCTCCAGAAGAAAACTAATGATATGCATAGACACCTTCGGTTTAGCAATGTTCATTTTACTACAGGTTTCTTTAAGGTTCATATAAAGGACCAAAAAAAGCTGACCCGAAGCAAAAACCCTTCCCTGTAAGATAAGTATAAGTGCATATGATTGCTAGTCTCACCAGATGTGTAATAAGATTTGGTGATGTCACTACTGTGCTGCTCACTGACCTTGATGGAGAGAAAGCTGCATTTCCCAGATGCTGCTTTATTCATTCTGTAGATTTTTGCTTTCCGTTGTTACCTGAAAAGAACCCAACCAATCATCAGATTAAACATCAGGGACAGCTCTGACATGAGGAAGCAAATTCCCTTTCATTTACCAAGATAGCTAACAGACACTCAGTGCAGAATAAGGCATGGAAAGTCAGCAAAGTGGGAACAATTTTCTGCAGGCAGCCTACAAGCAATATTGGTCCTTGGTCCTCTGCTTGCCTTTTATTGATCACAGCTTCCACAGTTCAGGCAACACATTATTCTGTAGAAGTGGCCCATTGCAGACTCTGTAGGAATGTGCAACTGGTGGATCCCACGGTTGGATACCCGCTGCCCCTGGCAGTGATTGACAAGCAGGATTGCCCATTAGAAAATGCTATTGAGTGGTGTCCTCACGTAACCCGGAGATTGATTTGTAAAAAGACCGTGCTATTGTTTATTACTTTAAAAGTCCATCTGTTTCTTACAGCATGTTAAAATGCCAGATTATTTTTCCTTCAGCACATCCAAAATACTAAAATAACCACTGTCGTTGTCATTCTAAGTAGGTAAATTGAGAAGGGGGTGTACTCCAATATGTTTTTAAAATTTTTGTAAACAATTTTATCACGATTTTGTATAAATCGAGTATGCTTTTATAGTAACCTATGCAATGGGGGTGCGCCTCTTTCAACCCCACATTTTCTTGGTGTGTGTAAATTACTTCAATTAGGGGGCGAGGTGCCTTTCAGATTGAAAGAGTCTGGGGTTAATGTTGTGTTGAGTCATTCTAAGTGGGAACATCATAGCAAATGCTTCATTAATCATTAACCCCCGGAGAGACTCTTATTCTGAAAATTCTGTCTAGGACATCTTAATCAGATTTCTGCTTCTCTAAGTCTCCCCAAAGAGTTATCAAAGAGATTACCTGGGGGCTGAAACTCTTGTGAAGGTCTGAGCCGACTCTCCCTGTGTCAAGCTCCTCTTAGTGTCTACAAAGCTTTAATGATGTCTGCAGCTCAGATCTTTCTTCTCCAGGGATGCTCTCCATCTGCCTTCATCCTTGGATTGGCTGATTTTATCAGACCTCATCTCTTTAGTAGAACACCAGCTATTAAATCGCGTTCATCCATTATATTTTTAATTTTATACACATCAGAAGCCACTCTAGGCTGGACATTTTTTAAAGCCTAATACCGATCTTCTTTTTCCCTTGTGAACATGATCTGTTCGTTCTTCAACTTCCCATTCTGGCATTCCATGTACTTATCTGTTGACCTGCAGCTTGAAAAAATTGGACGTACAATTGAAAATCAGGCCACCGCCAAGCCTGACCTTGGTTAAGGTCCTTTTTTAAAAGGTCTGGCTGTGTGTGTAGTAAAGTTGCTATTAAATTTCTCCAAACTTTATCTGGTATATAATACCTCTTATTTTGTAACTGAACATTCCTCTGTTCTGATGGGTGCTTATACTTACTAAATAGCTCTGGTAGAAAAGCTAAGTGCTACATAAAGCTGCAGTCTTATAAAAAGCCCTACACCTTCTCGACAATACAATTTCTGAATTTTTGTGACATTTTTTCAGTGTGTCACGTACCTGGTTGGAGACTGAATGTGTTAGGAGGCCTCCGTTGCACCTCGTGTCCCGAGGACTTTGGAGTTTGGAAACAGAGTCCAAGTGGACAGCGAGTGCATAAGCCACAAAGGACCATAATGGTCACAAACGTATTGTTGAATGATTTGCGACCATCACTGGTACCTGTTATCTGTGTGGCAAGTGGGATTAATATCGTTAGTTTACAAAACCTGATATCACTTACATGAAAGCCAGGGCAATTTTTCATCCTCCTCTGCTATGATTGCAGAATTTCTTAAATAGCAAATTTGTTATGGTATGCATAAATACAGATGCTCAAGAAAATCTGCATCATAGTAGATGCAAAATTGCCCTGGCTTTGAATGTGTAAAAGTATTTTAGTAGTAGTATTGGAGCTAGAGTTCGGTTATGCTTCCTCTATAACAGCATTTTATCAGCATTATGGAGTCAAGTCCATCTTTATCAAGACACATCACGTATCATGCCTTGATAAAGATTATCTGAGCTCTGTCGAAATGATGACATTAAAATGTTGATGCTTTGATTTCTCTCCACTGCAGGACCATGAGTGCCACTATACCAACTTTGTATTTTCATACATTTTAACTGGATAACCCTTTTTAGGCTTTGGCCTATGAGGCTTTCCCACAAATCTGGATTTTTGTGGTGCTTCAAATAAAACAAGTCTGTCAAAGTTATCAGTTCCAGGAAGGCAGCAAGCACATGCAGCTTGGCACATGTGGGCACAAACTATGAAACACAAATTACACCATTACTCAGGTGTTAACATAAGGCTACGTTTATGGTTTTATTGGGTTATATAACTAAAGAAGACCTGTCTTGTGAAAGCTGGAAAGCTGTGCCCAAAAAAGGCAAGCAAAGGACAAAGTGTGTGTCACCAGTATTGCCTATAAGCTTCCTACAACTGATTCCATGCCTTGTTGCACAGTGTTCCTGTGCGAACGCAGGCATCTTGGTAGAGGAGCAGGGCTTTTCTACCTCATGTCACAGTTGCTCTTGTGGTGACTGATGGGGTAATGATCAAGAAGGAGCAAAAGAATGCACAAATCTACAGAATGAATGAAACAGAATCCAGGAGATCATTGAACTGTAGGACCTTAGTCTTCAGCATGGAGAACAGTAAACAGCACAGTAGTCACATCACTAAATCTCATTCCAAATCTCGTGAGACTGGCAGTCAGAGGCAGGTGTACCTTAGATCAGCGGTCGCCAACCGGTGGTCCGCGAGAAAATGTTGGTGGTCCCCGGGCCCCTCTGATGCCGTGCAGGCTGGGCTGTCATTGAAGCGGCACGGAGGCTCCGGGCTGCCTCTCACCGACTCAAACAGCGGCATTCACAAGGAATGCGTGGCTCTCAGTACAGTGCAAGCTCTGCAGGAGGCGGGGCATTTCATCAGTACCCGGACTGAGCATAGAAAAATTGGGGAGAAGCCAGGTAATAGTGGCTCAGTGTGGGGGAAGGGGATGCATGTGGGTGGTTGGGGCAGTGCTGAAGCTAGGGGGGGCATGTGCCCCAGGCGCCACCAGTGGCAGATTCGATAGGGGGGGAAACAATTAATATCATTACAGGGACGGGGTGGGCGGCACCGCTCCGTCCACCAGCACTGCCGCTCCTGCAGGCACACCCGCATGTATGTGTATATATACTGTATGTATATATAGATATATTCTCATATTTTTTGTTTCCTCATATATAAATATATTCTCATATGTGTGTGTGTACTCATATGAAAATATATTTATATATGAGGAAACAAAAAATATGAGAATATATATATATATTTTAAAAATTCATATTAGTGGTCCGTGCAGCTATGAAGCTCAGAGCACAGGAAGTGCACTGCTATCTTTCATGGAAATTCAATACACAATACATCTTTTGGGGTACTTCTTAGGCACAATTAACATTTCTAGATATTCCCAAAAAGATAGCAAATTGTCACTTTTTGAGTTCAGGTCGACTTTAACAGTAATGGAAGGTATGAAAATGTTACACTAGGCTTCCCTCTAATAATACATAGTATAATGTTAACAATGGATAATAGGCTCACTTATAGGGATGTTTTTTGGCCTAAAGAAATATAATACATGGTTGTGCTTGTAAAAGCAAGTTTCCTATAGTTTCACTCACAGCCTTATTAAAATGTAACTATCCTGGTGTGATCCCGTCTCTAAATGACCCACTTTATTTCCATTCTGTATTAAGCAGGACACAGAAGGTATCGGAAAAGAAGAGGAAGATGCAGATGTTGGTGCTGCCCAGGATTCCGAGGTCTTCACCCAGAAAAGCTTGGCTTCATCCCCAGAGGTGCCTCTACTTACCTATTCTCCTGTGCATTTATCCCACATCCAAATCTGATCTGCACAAAGTATTTGAGTGACCATCATCTCCCTAATTAGTCCTTTAATTTGAGCACTGATGTGTCACTCTAGTGAAGATAAGGCATTTAGGGTGCTTCCAATGTGAGAATTGCTCTTGGAACACAATCTGTATGACCTAGTCAATTATCTCTTCTTCTTAATGAGAAGTGGAAAGAAAGCACTAAGTCACATTTGCTCTACTTCAGTCTGAAAGGCAAGTCACAGACAAAGCATAGTAGGTTAAGGAATGGCAGCAAAGTTACAGAAGATAGAGGTTAGCTGCAAGTCTATGGCCAGCTTTTAGTTAGTCACAGTTCATATTAACCTTTTTTTATTTGCAAATTACATACAAGCAGATTTTTTATACATGTGTTTAACTTATTAATACACATAGAATATAGTTCATTTGAAACAAACCTGCCAAAGAAATGGCACCAAGGTGCCATCGTATAAATTCCTAAATTGCTTCGAATGGCTTTGACAATGGCTGTCTGTACTGCATTTTACCACCTTCCATCCAAAGAAAGTCTTCTAGAGCAGACTACAGGATTATGAGAAATGTAGACTTTACTGATGGAGTATAGGTTGCCTTTTTCAGAAGGTCAGTCCACCCACAATTATTTCAGTTATATGTGAATCCAGTAGATTGAGCCACAGACGGGATTCTTATACCTCTTGAGGACGCTGTCCATCTGCCTACTTTGGAATGCCCAGTCCACATTCAGGTGTTCTCCTGTTAAATTATCTATAATATGAAATATAATTAAAGCCCAATTGAACCCTCAATTTAAATCAGTTTAACACATTCCAGGTGCATGAAAATGATCAATATCTTATGGTTCGTTTTCTTTCTAAAGCAACCACAGCTGGAGTAGAGAAGCTGGTCTTCTGCCAGCAGCTGCTGAGTAGGACCCATGCTCTCTGTGGGGAAGCAGTGATTCCTTTTGCACATGTTTAACATGTTCCCTGCTGAATGAACAGAGAGCGTAAGCTTTGTTGATTGCATAGTATAGGTCTCACTTAGTAGATGTGTTGGACCTCTGCAATAAGACCGCTGCTTCTACACAGAGAGCAAGGGTCATAGTCTGCAGCTGCTGGCAGAGAACAGGCTATTCAAGTCAGACTGTGGTTGCTTTAGAAAGAAAAGAAATAGTATGATATTGAACAACTTTGTTGTTTTGATGCACCTGGAATATATTTAACTGGTTTAAACTGAGGGTTCAATTGGGCTTTATATTCTAACAGCTATAGTGGGACCCTCTTTCAGCAAATGTGCTCACACAGGAACTCAAGCACAGAGATTTAGTCACCAGGTTCTACTCCCCAGCATCCGCCAAAAAAAAAAAGAAGTTTTTGTTGGATTGACCAGTGATGTAACAATAGCCATAGTAGCCCATGCAGCTGCTATGGGGCCCGGGGGTAGAAGGGGGTCCCCATTAAGGATTGCAGAATATGCTGTGAACCCTGTACCCCCATGACATTTCCAATCAAGTACATCACATGTACCGGAGGAAGCTATACAGACAGCTCTCCTGCTACCTGTCCTTGATTTCGATTCTACGGGGTTGCTGGGGGGCCCCACCAAAATTTTGCTATGGGGCCCCATGATCTGTAGTTATGCCCTTGGGATTGATGCTTTAATTTTCTAAAACAGTGTAATTAGATCCATGCCCTTCTGGTGTGTATACTCTATCTAACAATGTTGTACAAAAAGAATGAATTACAAATATGAAGATGGTCAGTATATAGTTGTGCTTATGTCCTCAGTCTCTGTATAAACATCAACCATTAACTGTCAAGACTGTGTTATAACAATAGGTAATTACATGTGAAAGCTAACATTTACAGCACATCTATAGTTCCTCTTTAGTGCATGAATACATAAAAATAGAATTTGCCTTGTGCATAATTTTGAAAGGGTAAAATCAGAATATGGATTTTGTAACATTGTTAGTTCACAATAAGGATCATTTATAAACTATAACTATACTATGTGTTCGCTCACTTCCCGATCTATTGAGCCGACGTGTGACAGTTTAATTGTCACACATCAGCTCTAACTATGAGGATGAGTGATTTTCACTCACCTCATAGTTCTCCTTTAACTAACGCTCAGCAAGTCTCATTTGTGCCCTTAAGAGACCATGTCACCACAGTACACATTAAAGCACTTAATGTAGCTGTTTGATTCACCTCCGACACTTCCGGGAGTGTCAGAGGCTCTCTTCCACTCCAAAGCCCACATTCTGATGTCACCAGAAATCTGGATGCTGAAAGAGAAGCCTCATGCAAGACTGTGGTCAAGAGCACTTCAAGGCTTCCATCTACCATCTTAGCACCGGCCCTACTTAATAGGATTTTAAACAATCCAGTCATGTGAAAACTAGCAGTCATGTGGCTGGGTTCAAGTTGCAGGCTGTCGAGAGGGAGAAAGACATTTCTGGAAATGTTCGAAGTGGTTTAAAACTAAAAACAGGATTACTTGAAAAAAGGCTTCTATGTGTATTGTGGTGACAGGGTCTCTTTGAAAATGAATTCCACAATATATAAATGTAGATTAGGGTAGAGGGTGGCAAAAAAGCTCTTTGTTTAGAGGTACGTTTACTAAGGTGAATGGTGGTTACTGTGAAGTTCAGCTGGTGATCTCCTCTCGCTGCTTTTGCTATTGCTGTCAGTGATAACTTTGTGCCAGTCCTTCCATTTCTCCTTATTGGCAATAAGGCCAATAAGGAGAAATCTCTTAGGATCTGGTCCCCAGAGATGAGTATAACTCTAAACACAAAGGTCCTTGATCACCCTCTACTAAAAAAAAACAATCACTTTTGTTTTGAATGGAGTATGCATTATCATGAAATGGCAGTTCATGGGGCATGTGCACATTATGTACGGCAGGGATGGCCAAACTCCGGCCCTCCAGCTGTGGTGAAACAACAAATCCCATGAAGCATCTCTCTCAGGGAGTCATGTCTGTGGCTGTGAGAATCTTGCAAAGCCTCATGGGATTCATAGTTCCACCACAACTGGAGGGCCGCAGTTTGGCCATCCCTGATGTATGGTTTTTAAACACTGTATTTTAAATTAAATTAAAGTATATCTCTAGCCCAATTTCTTTTAGGATAGACAAGGGGACCTGTTGGTTATAACACCTGTTGGCTTCCTTTTTTTTTTTTTTGCTGTCTGTGCCCCATTGGGGGAGTTTTCCCTTCACTTTCTGTAACAGAGTCCCAACAGGAAATGAGAGAAAACCTTTCCAAAGTGAGGGACATTCCCCTGGGCAGCACCAGAACAGATGTCACCATTAGAAGACTTCCTTTCAGCTTCTGATGCAGTGACAACCTTAAGGACTGGTTCACACCTGGGCGTTTTACAGTGCGTTCCTACGCGCTGTAAAACGCTCAACATGTGAAAACCAATAATTGCCTATGGGCATGGTTCCCACCTGGGCATTTTACAGCGCGTAGGAACGCGCTGAAAAATGCCCTACGCCCAAAGAAGTACAGGAGCTTCTTTGGGGCGTATTTGACACGCGTATCCATTAGTATACAGCCGGATAGCCCTCGTAAACGTGCGTTTGTCGCGCGGCAAACGCGCATATTCCGTACGCCCAGGTGTGAACCCAGCCTAAAGGTTTGGATTTCTTAACACTCTTGATTCCAGTGACAATGGTAATCAGGACAAGTGCAGATGATTCATTTCCCCAGCAGGAACACATACAGCAACATGAACTTGACAGGGTTTCTAATCATTCATCCTGTCAGACAGTTGTCATAGGAACAAATGTCCGTACTAAAAGATTTTCCCTTTCTTGATGTTCCCAAAATGTTCTATATTCCTTCGCTTTCAGTCCTGGTGACCATTGTCACCAGGACAAACAGAGAAGGTCAATCTCTTGAAAGGTGTAATAATTCTTCACCACTCTATTCAAAAGTAAAAAAAAAATATGCTACATATACACTTTAATGAGTGATTGGCCAGATCACTAGCACTTGCTTACTGAAGAATAAAAATGTCCCCTAATCATCCAGCTGTGACTAACCAAATGTGCTAAACTTTTCACTGCTATAAAAACCTCCATTTATGTCAAAAACATGTGCAAGTGATAATTACAGAGGTACACATTTGCACTTTCATAAATAACCTTTAAAAGCATAATAATTCGATAATGAGCTAGACTGTACAAAACCTGCTTTTAAGAGCTAGGGAAAACCCTTAAAGAGAAGCAGTTATTGTAAAAACCATATTTACTCTCGTCGTACGTTTGTAGCTAACCCCTTTCGCTCTGGTCACCATGCAGGGCATGGAGCATTGGGTTTTAATAGAAAGGACAACAGAAAGATCTTATACATCATTTGAAGAGGCCCAAAAAAATCAGTCTGTCCAGATTTCTGTGCAGGAGTTGTCCTCCAAAAGGGCAGAACACCCCCAGAAAGACCAACCTCATAAGGATAGGGAGGAACGAGAAATGGTGGATCTACTGGAGGAGAAATCTGTGATAAAGGGAGTAGAAAGGAGAATAAGGCTACCACGGAGAGAAGAACGCCTAGTGATGGTCACCAGTGAATGGGACGTGGTAGAAAGCAAAGCAAGAACAGCACCTGATGGTGCACCTGCTGAAGACAGTAGAGAATGGGCACTCAGGATGGAAAATGGCAAAGTTACTTCCTGGGGAAAAGTTGAATCATCAAATTTGAGAGGAAAAAATGGAGTGGACGGAGAAGATACCGGCACAAGAAGGATAGGGAGAGGAGTAGTTGGATCAGCAGAAGGCCACCAAGAAATGGGTAGGACCATCGTTGAACTTGGGAAAAGCAGACGTGTCATATTATGTGAAGATGAAGCTGATGAGAGTGCTGATGAAACAGAAGGAGAATGGCACAATGAGGCCCACTGGGATGAGCAACAGAAATCTTTGATATGGTGCGATAGTGCGGGATACCAAACGAAAGATGACAACATGGAGGATATGGACATTTATGCAACATCTAACAAACAACATGGGAGGTTTTTTGTTGTTTCAGATGACCAAAAGGAGCAGAGTCAGCTAGGAGAGACAGTGACAAAATTGTGCAGAGAATACATCACTACTGATATTCTAATACCAGATGACCATAATGAAGATTTATTAGAAGAGGAACATGGTAGAACTACTCTCAGTACAGAAGAAGCTGGGCCTTCTGGGCTGGCAAATGAACAATTGTCCTCAAGTGTACAGATGACAACTGAAGGGAACACAGAGGACTTACCACTGGAAGACTGGGGTCCACCAGTGCTCCATTTTATGTTACCAACCATCATTCCACTACCAGTGTCTTTTCCCAGAGAGAGAGGTCACCAAGAAATATCCACAGATAATAATCCAAATGAAAGAATTCTTCTTCAGCCAAATCCAGGGCATCATGATGCCCATTATTATGAAGGAGATGCAAGTCCTGCTGAATCCACAAGTCACACACCTGGAGACCTCTCCTCTCCAGATTCAGGCTGTGAAATAACACTCACGGATGCAGCGGTAACTCCTGATCAGCATGTTTATAGGGGGGAGGGAAAAGGCATCGAATCTGCTTTTTTTGTGGGCCCATTGTGATTTGCCTAGCACGCCAGACCCCTCTATGAACCAACTGAGGGGGCATGATGTCGTGGAGGGATCTGTCTGCCTGTCTGTACCAAAATCCTCCCAACATTCGCTTCTGGCTGAAGTATCGTCTGGCTTAAAATACCCCGTCCCCCAAATATCAGGCTGAAAAAGCATGGAAGCTAAAGAGGAGACGGGAGGGAGTTGCTGGAGGAGGGCTAAATGAAGGGGGTGAAGCCACGGCTAAACTGGTAGCAACAGTAAAATATATCTCCTGCACTCCAGGAATGAGCGCTTCCAGTGACACTGAATCATTGGCTCTGGCAGCTAGTCGTTATTCATCTGGGAAAACAATACTTGGCAGATATTCTGCAGTTCATGCCCCATGTTAAATACATGAGTGGACTGAAAAAAATGTCTTGCGCTTTGCACCTATATGGAAAAGAAAAGGTTACTAATCTCCATCCCACCTCCTCCCTACTCACTGCACTGAGGCTGCTGTGATCTTGCTTTTGTGCTCTGCATATGGGCACTGATTCACTGGGCTGCATTAAAACTTGAAGAAGCTTGTACTGTGACTCTTAAACCATGTCTAGTGTCAAGGCCAAGATGACCTACTTGAAGAAACACATCTTCAGCTTTTTTCCCCAATTATTTTTTTAACTCTTACTTTCTTCTACTTTCCTCTCTTACCCTTTATCTCTTCTTTTTACAAAATATTTTTTGAGCAGATTAGAGGCATTTCCCGTTGCGTCTAGTTGGATTTCAGCTTGCATTTTGTGACCTAAACTATCTATATTTCCAAATCTTTGTGGACAGCAGTCCATTAAACCTACTATATTGCCAAAGTATGTAGACACCTTACTAAATAATTGAATGCAGGTGTTTCCAATGAAGGGTACTGTTGATGCTACAGCACACAAAGACATTTTGGTCAATTGTGCACTTACAACCTTGTGGCAACAGTCTGGGGGAGGCCATTTTCCGTTTCAGTGTGACTGTGTCCTTGTACACAAAGGCTTGTCACTAAAGATATAGTTTTGTTACGGGTTTGGTGTGGAGGAACTTTCGAGATAAACTGAAATACCAATTACCAGCCAGGTTTTCTTGTCTAACATTAGTACTTGACTTCACAAATCATGTTTTGGCTGAACAGGTACAAATTCCAGCAGACAATCCAAGACCTTGTGGAAAGCCTTCGTAGATGTAGACGTTAGTATAGTCACAAGGGGGTAGGGGCAACTCAGTAATAATGCAGATGGTTTTGAAACAGGAAGTTCAACAAGCTCATATAGCGGTGATGGTCAAGTGTCCACAAACCTTTGGTTATATAGTGTACGTTAATGGCACCTGAAACCTCACTGCGTTCTTCCAATTTTCACAGAAGAGCCCATTTGTCTCTTTTTTCTGCACATCCTGCTATCATTTTTTTCCTCAATATGTGACCAGAAAGCAGAATACACCTTTCGATGTGACACGTCATAATAATTTAATACAGCCTAGTGAATCTGAGTCCACTTTTGCCTCGCTTGATGCTGTATTGCACAGCATCAGTCTCATGCATCATGCTGCAGGTCTTGCTGTTTGCACCTTGGGAATCCTTCACTCTAACCCTTCTCTCCTGCTCTAGAGTCAACCTCTTGAACCAACATCCTGGGAGGAAAGGGATATCCCATGTGCCCTCAGAGAGGTCTCCCTGCCGGACCAGGGTTATAGGAAATCCGGGATTGTCCATTTTCAGGTCAGGGCCATGAATGCCCTGATTTTGTACTATAAATGCCACTTCAGCCTTGCAAAGAAATGAATGTCTCTGTATATTTATCTTAATGTAATGAATGTTATATGTAAATGATCTTCAGCTAGTCATAGATTTATAGGTTATTACTGCATCAATTCTATGAATGGCTGTACATTGTGATGATTTATAAAAATAAATCTGAGAGGAAAAAAAGTATATTTGGTAATCATAGCAACCAACAAACTCCAGTTGACAGTTGGTTAGAAAGTCAAGATTAGGGTCTGAATTGGTTGCTATGACCAACATAAGGGCTTTTCTTTTGTCCCCTTTTATAAATCATAGCTAAAATTGTGTTGTTTGTTCATGTGAACCTGTGAAGATTGGGATTGCTTGACCCAATGTGCATATGAAAATATAAATTGGTACACATTGTGATACAGATATTCCACATGGACTGTATATTTCTCCATCTTCTCTTTTGCTGATATAAGGTGTCAAAAGTAATTGTTATTCTCAGTTGCCCGAGACATGAATCTGATAAATATATCTCGAGTTGTATATAGATTTGGAATGTTGACTTTGGTCAAGTGGTGATGAGCTGAGAATAAGTTCCATATTTCATTTCCTTCACTCTCAAATGGACTATTTAATAAAGCTAAAAAATAGGATGAGAAAGGTGCTCTCACCGACCTCAGTATCTAAATCCAGTAGAGATTTGTTTTTTGATTTTTAAAGAACATAATCAGTCTCCTAATTTATCATTTTAAAATGTATTCCAAACATTTATGGAAGGGCAAAATCATACTTCTGAATACACCTCTCCGCCAACTACTTATTTCACTGCAAATTTTCCATCATGGCTTTTTGAATTCCCTCAGAGAGTAAGCAGCAGGGAGGCAGAGGATGGACGGACAGCAGGTGATGAAGAACAAGGAGCTGGCCTTCTAAAAGAGAACCAACTAGGCATTGAGAGGAAGTGTTCAAGCATAACCGTCAGCTCTACATCAAGTCTGGAAGCTGAGGTGGACTTCACAGTGATTGGAGATTACCACTCCAACGTAGGCTTCGAAGATTTCACCCGCAGCCTTCCTGAACTGCATCGAGACCAGGGTGATGGGGCTGGTGGCACAGAGAATAATCCTGCAGCAGCTTCACAGGAAGTACATGATGAAGACAAGCAGGAGGAGGTGGCAACTGAGGTACAACACTACGGAACTGGAAACCCGCAGTCTTTACCTTGTTGTAATCTTGAGTATTACAACTTCTCCATTCTTCCATCCATCCCCGAATATTTAATCGCATGGAATGTGTTGAGAAATGCATGAAATTGCCAAGCACACTGGCCCATATGCTACTCTCCACATCTGTTGTTGACCATCGTGTTTGTATTATGCTATAACTAGCCTGTGATCCTTGCATGCTCCTGTGTTATGTCACCTTTGACCCGCATGTCATCGACAGCCAACCATTGTGCTAGGTAATATACAGTATGTCATCTGCCTAGTCACATGACATCATGAGTATATGTACTTTGTTTGCATACATGTCATCATCTTATCAATAGTCATCCTGTGCATGTTTCTAATTCACATTGTGCGTGGCTTTAAAATGTTCTTTGTATCGTAGAGACTGTACACATGGCACTCCACTGTAATTTCTCCTCATGGTAATGGGTTTATTTGTTCCCACAGTCACACAAGACTGTAGAGAAAGAGGTCATCAGCAGCGTGAGTACCGTAAGCTGTACAGATGGCGACAAAATCACAAATATACAAATTACTTCCATGCAAACCACTCAGGTAAGCATATGTTCTATTAAGTTACAATCATTCTTTTTGCTAAAAACTGAAACATATATAGGCTTTCAGATGCTGCTCTCCAAACATAAGTTAGGAATGCATTACCAACCAACCTCCCCATGTTAAGCCCTGTACAGTTTCAGTACACATGGAGCCAGCTGTATATTGAGAATACGGATCTTGCATGCATGGGGTGAAACACACAAATTTCAATTAATATACATGCGCCACCAATGCAGTGTTCTCAAGCAGGGCATGCACACTCAAGCAGCCTGACTTGTATAAAGATTACATGGTTATGCAATATAACTTACAACTCAGAACCTTCAAAATGGTCTTTTAATGTGATGGGTGGTCTCACAGCCTAATAAGAGGCAATGCTGTCCAAAGTAAAGTTATTCATCTACTGTCCAATGTTTGACAATTATTATTATATTATTATTATACAGGATTTATATAGCGCCAACAATTTGTGCACTGATTTACAAAATGGAGGAGATAGTACAGTTACAATACAATTTCTGTACATTAGGGTTAGGAGGGCCCTGCTTGTGATAGCTTACAATCTAGTAGGAGGGGCAAGTGATACAAAGGGTAACATTTATTTAGATTGAGTTATTGGAAGAAGTAAAAGGCAGTTATGTTGAGGTGGGATCGGCTTCCCTGAAGAGATGGGTTTTTAAGGATCGCCTAAAGGTGGGCAGTGTAGGAGATAGGCGGACAGATTGGGGTAAGGCGTTCCAGAGGATAGGGACACTCTGGAGAAGTCATGGAGGCGAGCATGGAAGGTAATTAGAGAGCTAGAGAGCAGGAGGTCTTGAGATGAGCGGAGAGGACAGTTTGGGTGATATTTTGAGATGAAGTCGGTGATGTAGGTTGGGGCGGAGTTGTAGATGGCTTTGTATATTGTTGTTAGTATTTTGAATTGTATTTGTTGGGCAATTGGGAGCCACTGGAGGGATTGGCAGAGGGGGGCGGCAGACACTGAACAGTTGGTAAGGTGGATGAGTCTGGCAGCAGCATTCATGATAGACTAAAGGGGGATAGCCTGTTTAGTGGTGGGCCAACAAGGAGGGAGTTGCTGTAGTCGAGGCGAGAGATTACAAGGGAGTGAATTAGAAGCTTTGTGGTTTCGTTTGTTAAAAAGGGGCGTATCTTTAATGTTAATCTTTAATTAAATGTTACGGAGGTTGAGTCGGCAAGATACAATGTTTCTACCCCTATTTCTTTTTAACAATGCCTTATATTTTGACAGGTGGATGAGAAGGAGCCTGTAGTCAGCAGCCATACTGTCACTTCACACACTGTAACCCCAGCACAGGTAAGATTTTATTTTATAACACCAATGTACAGCACAACCCTTTATAATAGAAAAAATACTCGGTGTTATTAAGCAGCCATTTCTGTGTTGCACAAGGGAGAGGTGGAAAAGTTATCCCAGTAAATGCAAATGACAGATTCACCAGTTCACATTAAAAATGGAGCCTAAAATGCATACAAGAGACACAGCCTACCTACTCAGGACAAGCACAGCTGAGGTCAGGACATCCCACTTGCTAGAATCTCCCTCATTGCCCATAATCTGGTGTTCTGAGAACCGGTAATTGTTGAGCCATGTAAATGCACAAGCAGAACCACCATCAAGGCAATACAACTGGTCTACACTAAGGATGGGCTCGGGCGTGTTCGCAGCTCCACGTGCGGAGCCCGCCAGGAAGCTGACACCGCACAGCACCAATCACAGGTACTGAGACATTTTCCTGGTCCGCAGCTATAGAGATCTGGAAATGTCTCAGTGCGTGTTATTGGCGCTGCGCGCTGTCAGCTTCCTGGCGGGCTCGGCACATGGAGCTGCGAACACGCCCGAGACCATCCATAGTCTACACGTAGGTTGTTGCAGGCTGAAGAGGACAGCTGATCAGGGTTTCAGAGGTTATGTGAAAAATCATCTGCCAAACTTTTTATCTGATCCCCTCATCAGATTGCTAGCTCTGGCATACAGGAGCACAGACTCCTTTACACAATCATTGTCTTCTAAAACCTGGTACCTCCTAACAGGAAAGGGAACAGAAACTTTAGCACAGATGGCAGCAGTGGCTCCCAGCTAAAAAAAACGAAGCACAGAGCCCTGTGGTTGCCCCTGCCTGCATAATAATTATTTCCTAGTCTCCTTAGCGCTATCTAGTGGCCATAATGCAGCATTACATTACATTTGACCTGAAAAGTAAATATACTAAGAACGTTTGTTTTTAGCTCTATTCACACAGAATGACATTCGCAGAAATTAGTAGGGCAAATGGTTCTGTGAATTGCTCATAATTGGACCCAATTAAGTTGTAACTGCAGTTTAATAAATCGGGGACATTGTTCTAGTTTTACAGACTATACAGTTCTTTTCTTCTGCCGTAAAATCCTGCATTCTATTTGTGGACATTATTTAGCCTAAACTGTAAAGAAGTTTCACACTGTCACCTGTTAAATATTCCGAATGTATATTAAGAGTCAGGTTTAGGGAGCATGTTCTGTGTATTTCAGGCTGAGGACAGTAGGACAGATGCAGCTGGTACAGACGCAGCACGAGCAGGAGCATCTGCTGAAAGCTCCCAGGCACTGCAAGCAGATGTCACCCGCACCCATCATGTAAGTGTTACCCAAGAATTACATTGCTATAAAAGATTTAGCACCAATGAATCATTCACTTCACAGGTTATTTGCAGCCGGCTGCATGTTTCATCAAATAAAACGTTACCAAGGACTTTGTCTTTTATTCTTCAGGTTTCCCATACTGCCACAGCAGAGACATTGTCCTCCTCCACAACCACCCACGTAACCAAGGTGAGACTAACCTTTTTTTTTTAACAGTAAACATTTCCTATCAGACATATGGGGGCTCCCATTACAAACCTTCTTCTGAAATGCTAATTGCTTGGCTGTTGAGCCACTGGCTTCAACACTTTCTGAATCCCTAACTCTGAACAAACCTTGATCAGCCTGTTGGACATGAATATGGAGTTGCTCCCTCCCCTGTTCCACTCACTGCAGCCTCCACTCCTCTATCACACCTTGATGAGTTTGTTGAACATGAATATGGAGTTGCTCCCTCCCCTGTTCCACTCACTGTAGCCTCCACTCCTCTATCACACCTTGATGAGCTTCTTGGACATGAATATGGAGTTGCTCCCTCGCCAGTCCCACTCACTGCAACTTCCACTCCTCTATCACACCTTGATGAGCTTATTGGATGTGAATATGGAGTTGCTCGCTCCCCTGTCCCACTCATTGCAGCCTCCACTCCTCTAGGAAGGCTTTCCAAAAGATTTTAGAGTGTGCTTATGGGAATTCATGGACATTTACCCAAAATGGCATTTGTGAGGTCAGGTACTGATGTTCAACGAGAAGACTTGCTTGCAGTCGAAGTTCCAGTTCATTCCAAAGGTGTTCAGTAGGGTTGAGGTCAGGGCTCTGTGCAGGCAACTCCAAACTCATCACATCATGTCTTTATAGAGCTGGCTTTGTGCACAGGGATGCATTCATGTTGGAACAGGAAAGGGCCTTCCCCCAACTGTTGTCACAAGGCTGGAAGCGCACAATTGTCCAAAACAAATTAACTTACTGGAAATACCTAAACTTAATCATTTGGAGGAGTGTTCACTTAAGTCGGGTATACACGCTTCTATTTTCTTTGTTCAACCTGCTGGCTGAACAAAGAAAATAAAACAGATTCCTCCATCAACACTGACGAGCATTGATCGAGGAATCTAATTCCCCTCCTTTTGTATTCCTACAGCTGCCGCCAGAATCCCGGGACAGAGCTGGCAGCTCATTGGCTGCTAGCTTTGTTAGCCAACAATTTTCTGACATGCTCCATGAGCTGATTGAGGGATGCGGGTCGGAAAGGGGCTGACAGCAGCACCCATGCATCGATTTTCGAAGCGTGTATACCCGGCTTTACTTTTGTCCATATACATAGGTGTGATGGTCAAGTGTCCACAAACATCTTTCTCATATGGGAAAAATGTTAACATCAACAACATGAAAAGAACCTGTTATAACTATATAATGACTATTGTATACAATACAGCCGTATATATTTTACTTACCTTCTTTCCACTATCTTTTCATTCCTTATTTCTGGCACTGCGCTCTAATCTGACCTTTTCCTTTGGACTGTGCCTGCGCAGACTGTAAAGGGTGGATTCTCTGAGACAAGGATAGAGAAGAGGATAATTATTACAGGGGATGAAGATGTGGATCAAGAGCAGGTAATGCATGCCAACTAACATCAAATGATTATCAGAGTTAAGGCTGAACTTATATGTATATGGGAACTGTTACCTATGAAACAGATTTGTATTTTGTTCCATCTGTTTTCTGAGATGTACAAAGCTCTGCCTGGCAGGGAAGACCTGATTTTCCCCAGCTGCAGTTCAGTTACATTTTACAGGTCTTGTCCCTCCATCAGCCTGTGACTGGACAGTGGAAGGAGAAGCAGCAGACTGATGAGCTCATCTCTCTGTCACCATGTTCCTTTTCAGCACATGAGCACTGGAGCACAACTAATTGGCTCCTTTTGCTGCGTGTCCCTATCTGAGCTCTGCTGTAACATCAAGATGTTCTCTGATTCACATACTTACACTGCTTGCATTTCAAAAATACATTTAATGACGCATTCATGTATACAAAGCTGCATTCAGTTGTAACTTTTATATTTCCCTGGAGTTTGGCTTTCAGCCTACCATTTACATTAGTAACGTTTTGGCCATTTTATCTCTTTTTTTATTGCAAAAAAAATCAATCAAACTTTTAAACTATGTGAACACTTTTTTTGTGCATTAGGCCTCATTCACACGAGAAAAAGCCGGCACATACAGTTCCGTGCTGCGTGCACAGCTGTATCGGGCAGCTCCCGGGAAGGACAGGTGCTGTGTGTGATTAGTACACAGCCCCTGTACTTCTCTATGGGAGTACGCGGCCGTACGCTGCCCTACGCTCGCCCCAAGTGCAGATCCATACGGGTGTGGGTGTCCCGACTCGGACGCAGACAGGATCCATCCTGTCAGCTTACGAGTACGGACACCTGCACGGATATGCAGGCCAGGTGAGCGTAGGGCGGCTTACGGCCACGTACTCCCATAGAGAAGGACAGGGGCTGCATACTAATCACACTCAGCAGCTGTCCTTCCCGGGAGCTGCCCGATACGGCCGTGCAAGCAGCATGGAGCTGTATGTGCCGGCTTTTTCTCGTGTAATTGAGGCCTTAAGGTGCGTTGACGCCATTCAAGATATTATAAGCTCCTTTAACGCAGAACACCTTAACGCATATAGCATTGTGTGAGCACAACGCATAGTGTGAATGGGCCCTCAGGGGACAAAGCGACTGTAATGTAAATGATGTCTTTATTTAAACAGTAAGATATCTCAGTTATAGATGGCACCTGATGTGCTGAGTCACCCTTGGCTTCTTGGATACTCCAACAGCAAGAGATCCTTGCTATAATTCCAGACTCTGTTTCTGTCTGCCTGTGCGTTTTGCGTGTTCCAGTCCATCTTTGCCGCAATGCGATCAGCCACACGGTATCGCAAGGCACATTATGCCTGCGGTCCGGTGCGATCAAAATAGTGCTTGCAGCATTTTGATCGGAAAGCAGGCATAATGTGCCTTTGCGATCCCATGTGGCCGATCGCATTGCGGCCGGAGGGTGTGACTACGGTGCCATTCACTTCAATGGCCCGCCTTGCCCCTCCTGCCTCACAGAAAAGTGAGCCGGCCGCAATGCGAGGCAGTGCGTTCTGGCCAGAATCGGGCCGGAGTGCACTGCATCTGGTGTGAACGGGCCCTTAAAGCCTGTGACACGCTGCACGCAAAGCCGTGCAGAGCGAAGCAAAGCTGTCCACCACAGAGCTTTGCGTGCAGTGTGTGAGCTGAGTGCAGGCAGATGATTGACTGCACCTTCAGCAAATCGGCTCGTGCGTAACAACCGGCCAGACGTCGCATCCTGACGAGCAGGTTTATACGTGCGAGCCGATTGTCTGAAGATGAAATTTTTCATCTCGGCACGCTCAGCTATGCAAGCCCTCGCAAGCTGACGTGCCGGGGAGAAGATGACATGATGCACTGCTCACGAAGGCAGCGCGCCACCGCTCCACGCTGCTTCTCGTTCAGTGTGTCACACCCTTAAAGCAGAATTCTAGATTTTTAAAAAAACATTAATTAACCATCAATAAAGAACTTTTGCGGCAATACCCACCTTCAGTCTGATACTGAAGTCCTCGACACTCTTGGTACTCCTTTTCTGAAATGAATGACGGCCGGCATCATTCCACCCACTTCCTGTGTGCCCAGGCTGCTATGGCCAAACCCTTTCTCCCCCCACTGGACCATAAGATAAACCTTTGAACTTCGTCCGTGAACTGGCAAAAGGATTGCTTTATTAAAGATAACTATCCAGTGCATTCTTTTAAAAATAGGCGTGAGAGTCTTCAGGGAGGGTGAGGGTGGGGACAGGGTTTATGAAAAGTGTCAATGGGCTTTAAATAATAAAAAAAAAATAAGACTCCGATGAAAAGTGTCCTTATGCATCTATGTTGATAGCTAGAAACAGTAGCACATGACAATACTAATATTTCACTTCCCCCAATCCACCTAGGCTCTGGCCATGGCTATAAAAGAAGCAAAGTTACAACACCCAGATATGCTGGTCACGAAAGCAGTGGTGTATTGTGAGACAGAGCCCTCCCCCGAGGAGCCTGAAAAGAAACAACAGGTACTATATTGTTTGTCAGTGAATTCTTGTACATTTTCTAAGTCAGGTTTTCACTTACGCTCTTCTTTTATCTTCCTCTCCAGCAATCTTGACCTTGGATGTTGGATGTGAATCGTCCCTTTCATCTTCCTCTCTCTGTCCCTCAATCATAAAAATAAAGACTGTCCCTCCCTTCCCCAAACCTACACCTCATGCCAGCTGCAAAATCTCCAAACCGGCAGGGGACATCCATGCAATCAGCATTTCATGGCAGAGAGAGAGAGAAAGACTGGTCACCCGCCCGGAGCTGATTAGCCACCTCCTAAGAGTGAAGGAGGCACTGAGACACTCATTCTTCTGCATCTCCCCTTTGCTCGCTCCTCTTCTGAGAAGCATGCCTAGCAATGCGTGACTGCATGTGGCATCAGCAGGGATAACTGCATCGGGACTATTAGAGAATTTCAGCTCTGAGTAACTGAAGAGTCCTCTGAAGTATATCCTAAAACACTGTCTGGGGCACTCCTGCAACAAAGGGGTTAATGATCAAAGCCTCCGCCTTCTTTATATAGAAAGTTAGTTACGTCTTATTCCTCTCCAATAACTTACAGCCAGATAATCACTGATATAGATGCGTAGTGTTGTCTGATCCTGTCCTGTTAACCTACGGTCATAAATGGTTTACCTTCCGTCAGGTAGAGTTCCAGCAGATCTCGTCTTCTGATTTCCTGTCCTGCGGCACTAGCAATATGGGAAACTCAAGTCAGCAAGCGGTACTGGGCTCTGTCGGCTGAAAGTTCTACATGATTTAACCCATTTGTTGCCAGCTGGGGAGCTAGAAGATGTCCCTGCTAGTTGGGGGATAGGCTGAGCCATTTGTGTGAAAGGATTTAACTTCACACAGGGGGAGGCCTGACCTACTGCAATGCTGTGCTCTCCCCCTGTTCCTCCTCCTCCCTGTGCACCGTGATCACTGCTCTATAGCCAATAAAAAACAAAGTCAGTGTGACACGTTTCCTTCCTTATTGTGCATGTCATTTTTGATAGATTTCCTGAAACTGATACTATACTGATAGCTATTTCCAGTATTAATATGTGTCAATGTATTGCACTGCATTGTGCAGAGTACACGGAACCATTTGCATCAGTTTCCGCCCCAGAGGAGCTTCTAATATGATATCACTATCACAGTCATACAAGCACACACACCTATAAACTCTATGGTTAACCAGTATGTTTTCGAAGTAAACCTGTCACTGAAATATGTGGTGCCATGAGGTACCTGAAGGTGCCTTTAAAGGGAATGTATAGTTTAAGTAACTTTTATGTGAATTTCACATTTTTTCATGCTAGCTCCATATTTCTGTTGTATCAAGAGCCCAACTCCATCTTGAATGTAATTTTTTTTTAGAAAGTGGTCCGGCATGTGTGAAAATAAAAATAATACTCATCTCTCTGGTGCTACCCCGCATGGACTCCCCACTCTGTGATCGAGCGGCGCCATTCCTCATGTGGGTTTTATGACACCTAGTGTAATCCAACCAACTTCCTGTGAGTCCAGGCTGTCATGGACACACCCCATTGGGGTGAGTCATCACCCGAGATGGGATCACAGTTTGGTGCTTACATGTCATAATGTGAAGACCTTGCTGCCCAGAAGTTTGGACTGCCTACTGCTTCCAAAGGAGAGAAAAAAAAGAGATGTGACAGCACCAGACTGGCCAGAAGACCCCAAGATTGAAGGTATGCATAATGAGCTCTAAAAAAAAATGATAAACCATGGAGTTGGATTTTAAATATGTGGAGGGAGCTCAGTATTTCAATGTGATCAGCCTTTCTGGGTTAACAACTATCGAGATATCAGCCACATAGGAAAAAGCATTGATTTCAAAAACCAAACATTGTGTAGCACTGCAAAGCAGGAAGCCAAGCCTGTGTATTTATTGAGACAATATGGCCACCCACATATAAATGTATAATTACAAACTATACAAATAAACAAGCTTCGTAAAACATTAACACATTCATACCATTATTTAATCAAGCTGATCTATTTGTATATCTAAAAAAAACGGAAAAGACTACACTCCTTAAATTGCACACACTTTTTTTTTTGGGTGTGCTTGGGATTCCTCAAACCCACCTGTACTCAGGAAGTAGGCTCTGCTATTACCAGGACATCAAAGCTCTGACAAAAGCTGCACTCTTATACTGTCCACTTGGGCACTGCTCTGTTGGCAGTTGTCATACTTGATGTTATAAGGACAGGAGCGTGTCAGAGCTCCAAAGTCAGATGAAAAATTAGGTCTTCTTTCTTAGAGTGTAAAAAAAAAAAGAAAAGTCACAGATATAAGTACATACAGGTATCCTGTGGTTATAGAAAAACAGAAGCCAGACAGGGCGCCTTCCCTAGTGTAAAACCTTTATTAAAGAACATATATCCACCATCAATTATGCTGACAAGGAGAAATAATCAATGAGCCATGTTTGCTGCAATGCTGCGTGCTGCAGCCACAACCACCGTATTGACAACTAGGGACACTAGCTGCTGTTTTTCTATAGGTACATTCAGTCTCCCTGACTCCAAGTGGTGCCAGTTGAATTGTTTCTGGGCTATGAACTAGATCCTGTGGCGCTAATGTGGAAGTTTTGAACTAAGTATCCTGTGGTGTCCGTTGCTGTTAGACATGCACATTTCAATGACCGGCTTTCTTTAAATGATGGGATGAAATAAGAGCATCCAAAGGTAAATCACAGCAGTACTGGGAGAACATACTTACTCCATGCAGACTCCATCATCTATTGATGTTAAACTGGATGCTCAAGTGTTTATATCCGTACCAATGGGATAAAGGGAAAAAAAGAGGTAATTACTCTGAAAACGTCTGCATTCTAAATTGTACAACCATCTCAGTCTCAGTCAGTAACAAAGTAAATGCTGTTGGAGAATGAAGAAAGAGGATGGAAAAATCCAGATGAAGTCTACCAAAGTTAAAGGAGTTACCCCGTGCTCGTTTTTGTCTAGGTTAAATAATATATACTCACCGGATCCTCCTAGCCAGCTTGCTCTTAGCGATGGTATGTCTTTCGTCGTGCACAGGTCCAATACACGCAGGGCCGGCCTTAGGCCTTTAGGCGCCCTGTGCCAGGGCCGGTCTTAGGCCTTTAGGCGCCCTGTGCGAGAAAGCTTTACAGCGCCCCTCAGTGACCACACCCCTCAGTGGCCACACCCTTTCGTGGCCACACCCCCAGTAACCACACCCATTTATTACCCATATTTTTGGTAAAATATAAAAAGCGGGGTCACGTCGGGTAAATAGACACCAAACATGTCATGCTTTAAAATTGCACGCACCCGCAAAATCGCAAAAAATTACCATGCCCAATATTGACCATAGGTGACGCTTTAAAAGCTTTTACCGCTCATCAGTTTAGTGTTATCAGTGATTGATAGCCCTACAATTATTGCTCTCATTCCGACGTTCGCGACGATATGTAACATGTGCGGGGTAATGGGCGAAATCGTCGTTTTCACACGTATGCGCACCCGACGCCTGTTTGCATGCATGTAATATGTGACAGGTCCTCTTTATGGAGACATCAGGGGTCTCCAAGACCCCTAATGTCACCTAGGACCCCCCTGAAGAAGCTGATGAAGCACAGATCTGCTTCATCAGCTTCTCTCCAGCATCTGAAGCTGGAAAATGACACAAGAATGCGAAAGTGATGTAATATACATCAGTTCCGCATTCTGACAGCGGAGAGGGGACCGGAGGGAGCTTGTGTACCGAGCTCCCTCTGATCCCCTGTGAGAGAGGCCATATGCTGGTCCCGGGCTCGCACTGGGCACAGCGAAGCCCGGGACCAGCTTGACAGCGGGGAGGGGAGCCGAGGAGGGCGCAATTCACGGGACCTCATACAAGCGATCCGCGGCTCTATAGCCGGCGGATCGCTTGTATGTTAACAGGCATCGCTGCCTGTTTTCAAATAACGGGCATTTCCCGCTCGCGAGCGCCCAGCGGTGGGCGAGAGGGGGCGTGGCTGAGCGGACGTCTAAAGAGCTCCTGGCCAGCCGTTTTTTTACAACGATATAGAACATGAGTCAGGGACCTTAGACCACTGCAGCAGAGGAGAGAGGCTCCAGGGACCAGTCTAAGAGCAAGCCAACTCAGGGGAGTGGGTGAGTATAACTTTGTTGTTTTGAACCTAGACAAAAATGCACTAAACGCTTGCAGTGCGGAGGTACCCCAATAAGAAAATGTTTACCTGGACTGGAGTTCTACATTAAAGGGGTTCGTCAAAGCAGAAAATGTAAGCACTATAGAGGTAATTATTAATGATGAACATAATGACCTAAATTGGTGCCCATTTTATCACATCTCTCTACACCTGGCTATCACTGGGCTTGGATCTTATTAGCTGTGCTGCTGGCATTGATACATTGTTATACTTACAGTGGCTTGCAAAAGTATTCACTCCCTTGCCATTTTTCCTATTTTGTTGCATTACCACCAGGAAATAAAATTGATTTTTATTTGGATTGCATGTAATGGACATACACAAAATAGTCCAAAATGGTGAAGTGAAATCAAGAAAATAACTTGTTTAAAAAAATTATAAAAAATAAAAAACAGAAAAGTGGTGCGTGCATATGTATTCACACCCTTTGCTATGAAGCGCCTGCATAAGATCTGGTGCAACCAATTGCCTTGACAAGTTATAAAATTAGTTAAAGACCACCTGTGTGCAATCTAAGTGTCACATGATCTCAGTATATATACCTGTTTTGAAAGTCCCCAGAGTCTGCAACACCACTGAGCAAGCGGCACCACCAAGCAAACAGCACCATGACCAAAGCAGATCCAGTGGCTCTCCAAACAGGTCAGGGACAAAGTTGTGGAGAAGTACAGATCAGAGGTGGGTTATGGAAAAAAATCAGAAACTTTGCACATCCTACGGAGCACCATTAAATCCATTATTAAAAAATGGAAAGAATATGGCACCACAACAAACCTGCCAAGAGAGGGCCCCCCACAAAATTCATAGACCAGGCAAGGAGGGCTTTAATCAGAGAGACAACAAAGACACCAAAGATAACCCTGAGGAGATTGGAGTATCTGTTCATAGGACTACTTTAAGCCGTACACTCCACAGAGCTGGCCTTCATGGAAGAGTGGCCAGTAAAAAACCATTGCTTACGGAAAAAAATAAGCAAACACGTTTGCTGTTCGCCAAAAAAGGCATGTGGGAGACTACCCAAACATGTGGAAGAAGGTACTCTGGTCAGATGAGACTAAAATTTAGCTTTTTGGCCTTCAAGGAAAACGCTATGTCTGGCGCAAACCCAAGAACTCTCATCACCCCAACAACACCATTTTTCATCGGCAGGGATTGGCAAATTGGTCACAATCGAAGAAATGGTGAATTGCGCTAAATACAGGGAAATTCCCGAGGGACACCTGCCAGAGATTTAAGACTGGGACGGAGGTTCACCTTCCAGCAGGACTAAGCATACTGCTAAAGCAACGCTTGAGTGGTTTAATGGGAAACATTTAAATGTCTTTGAATGGCCTAATCAAAGCCCAGACTCTCAATCCAATTGCTAATCTGTGGCATGACATAAAGATTCCTGTACACCAGCAAAACCCATCCAACTTGAAGGAGCTTGAGCAGTTTTGCCTTGAAGAATGGGCAAAAATCCCAGTGGCTAGATGTGCCACGCTTATAGAGACATACCCCAAGAGAGTTTGTTTGTCTTATTTCTTGTTTGTACCACAATAAAAAATATTTTGCTTTATTTTGTGTACATCAAATGATACAAACCTCCCAAAAATCCATTTGAATTCCAGGTGTAAATGCAATGAAAAAGGAGAATGCCTAGGGGGTGAATACTTTTGCAAGCCATTGTATACCGTTGAGACATAGGAGGCTGCAGTAAGACATTGCAGTCTATGGAGACCAGTGAGCCACCTGAAGCGCAACCAATGTGTGAGCTGTACTATAAGCAGATTATAAGCATTCTGTCTCCTGTGCAATGTAACGGAATTTAATATAATGCTATGCAGAACAGAAAATAAAAAGACTGTAGAGCTTCAGTAAGACATTTGCGACACACTTTTGGCGGTGTGTATGAAGCCCAGCACCAAGTTTATGAAATCCCTGCGACATTTACATTATTATTACCAAGGAGTGCAACAAATTCAAGCAGTTATTATTTGTGACACTTTTACTATATGGAGCTATTGCTGCATCAAATTCATACAAAAAATACCGCTATGTCGGTGATAAGGAAAGAGGAGGTAAACAAGTCCTCTTCTGTGTTGGAGGAAACTGTTGATTATGTCTCACGTCTAATTATTCAGAGACAAAACTTGCCTCAAAACATTTATCTTCCTCTGCAACCGATACCTAAAGTGACACTTAACTCAGGAGTTAAATCTCAGGAGTAAAAATATATTCAAGTCCCTTAACTATCACTCGGCTGTAGATCCTCAAATCCTCTATGAATTGGTGCGGACACTGTCCTTCCTTCTGGAGGGGGGCTACTTTGTTCCCCATGGTTCCTGTGTGTGTTGTAAACTAGTCACCGCTCCAAGCTCACTCCTGTGATGGACTACAATCTCAATACAAATTAGTAAACTAAACATGAGATTGTAGTCCATCACAGGAGTGAGCTTGGAGTGCTGGCTACTTTACAACACACACAGGGACCATGGGGAACAGAAGTAGCCCCCCTCCAGAAGGAAGGACAGTGTCAGCACCAATTCAGAGATGATTTGAGGATCTACAGCCGAGTGATACACAACTAAGATACATTTTTGTTAATAGTTAGGGGACTTGAATGCATTTTTAAGGTTTAACTCCTGACTTTAGTGTCACTTTAATATTACTCTCCTAACTTCTCCAAATAGCTTTCATGTAAAAACTAGAGGTGCACGGAAATAAAAATTTTAAAACCGAAACGAAACCGAAATTAAACAAAATGTCAGGCCGAAACTGAAAATGAAAATGTTTTTTTTCTAACTTTTTCAAAATATTTTTATTATTTTTTATAAACGTTTTCATTTTTTTATATTTATTTTTATTAAATATTTTTATTTTGTATTTTACTTTTAGGGGCTTTAGGGAAATTTTAGGGGTCTAAATAGACCCCTGATATTGCCCTTTTAAAATAGAAGAGATTGAGGACACTGAGTCCTCAATCTCTTTTTCTGCATCCCGTTATCAATGAACAGGAATCCTCTATACTGAGTGTCCCTGTTCATTCCTAACATATAGTATACATATAGTATAGTTCATTCATATAGTATACATATAGTATAGTTCATTCATATAGTATAGTTCATTCATATAGTATACATATAGTATAGTTCATTCATATAGTATAGTTCATTCATATAGTATACATATAGTATAGTTCATTCATATAGTATACATATAGTATAGTTCATTCATATAGTATACATATAGTATAGTTCATTCATATAGTATACATATAGTATAGTTCATTCATATAGTATACATATAGTATAGTTCATTCATTCATATAGTAAACGTGTGTTTACTATAACTACAATCATTAATGAACAGGAGGTGATGTAGAGCACTTCCAATTCATTCATAATTCAGAACACAGTAAACATACAATGTCCTCAATTATTTACAAACACTCAGCAATCACTGATCGCTGAGTGCTTGCACCGCTCTCCATCCTGGATCGGCTGTCACAGGAGGCGGAGCGAGTGGTGAGGGTAGATCTCAATCTGACAGCTAACTCCTCTCCTGCCGGCCTCCTGTGACCGCATTGAGAGCTGTCTCCGCCCCCACACCGCTCTCCTGATCTGTGACAGGAGGCTGAGCAATGTCTGGAGGAGAGACGCCGGCCCCTCACAGCGATCTCCTCCCGCACCACTCGGCCTCCTGTGACAGCTTCCCTCCTCCCCGCTTGGACACAGAGCAGCGCCAAGCGGGGAGGAGAGAAAGCAGGGATGCGCCGCTATTTCGGCAAAAAAAAATGGCACTTTCGGCATTTTGCCAAAAGTGCTATTTTCGGCCGATACTTTTCGGCAGCCGAAATATCGGTGCGTACCTAGTAAAAACTCCATCACTTTGAGAGATGCTTGCAACAGTTCTGTCAGAGTTGTAACTAAATCATATTCCCCTTACGGACACATACATGAATCTGTCACAAGTTGTGCCATTTGTCTCAGAACCGCAAGACTCTATGAATTCCAGGGATTGTGTTTCTGCCATTGATGCCTTTATATTTACTGTTTACATATGTCAGAACATTCCCCGTCAGACATATAAAACCCCATAAAGTACTGCATATCTATAGACCAAACGCTTTTTTTTATTTTTTAAAAATTTTGGGTAGAGGAAAGTTTTTGTCTTTGTTCTTCCGTTCCAATAACCCCCATTCCACCCATTCTGTCCTGGGTAACTGGAATAAGATTGAGGGAAGATTTTCCCAGTGTATTTACAACAGCAATACAAAACTGACCATTCTAACCCCTCCCCGCTATAAAACAAAAAGCTCTGGCTGGAGTTGGGCTTTGAAGTTATCTTATCCCCTTCCCTCCCGAAATCTGCTTACTAACATTCCTCAGCACCATGCCCCATGCTGGCGATATGGTAATAAACATCCTCTCTTTGACAATCAGCAACTGACACTTTGTGCAGCTGCTTGCTTTCATTCGCAGCTGTCACTGACAGCTGGGGTTCCCACTGACAATGGGGAAGCATTTAGCGTGGTACCTGATCATGTGATCACTTTGACAAAGTGATCACATGCAGGCTGGAGGACTTATTGAAAAACAATGAAAGTCTCCAGTCTGCATGCAGTTGAACACTGCCACGTTCAGGCTGCAGTGTTCATCTGCCATATCATTTATTTAATAGTGTAACTATCAGATACAGTTGCATTATTAAAACAATATTAGATTTATTAAAAAAAAAAATTAAAATGATTATTATAAAAATATTTATTGAATAAAATCATTCTTGAAAGATGCAGACTTTTCCCTGTACCACTGCTTGAAGAAAGTGTCTTCTAAAAACTGGCAGTAGGTTTGGGAGTTGATTTTGAATCCATCTTAAACCCGAAAAGGTCCAAGTAGCTCATCTTTATTAATACCTGCCCACCAGGACCCCACCTTGCTGGCGTCTGAGTCGAAATGGAGCTCTATGCCCGTTACTGATCTAGCCATGGGCCCATCCATCTGGTCTGTTAAGAGTCACTCTCATCTCATCAGTCCATAAAACCTTTGAAAATCTGTCTTCAGATATTTCTTGGCCCAGTCTTCACGTTTCAACTGGTGTCTTGTTCAGTGGTGGTCAGATTTCAGCCTTCCTTACCTTGGCCATGTCTCTGAGCACTGAACACCTTGTACTTCTGGGTACTCCAGGTAAGTTGCAGTTCTGGAATATGACAGCCCTGGAGGATGATGGGTTCCTGGGAGCTTCACGTTTCATTCTTCTCAAATCTTTGGCAGTTAATTTGCGTCTTTCTTTCTCCACACGTTTCTTGCAACCCTGTTGACTATTTGCAACAAAAAAAATTGATGGTTCTGTAATCACGACCCAATATTTTAGAAACTTCAAGAGTGCTGCATCTCTCTGAAAGACTTTACAATTTTTGACTTTTCAGAGTCAGTTAAAGGAGAACTATGACATGAGTGATTTCCACTCACCTCATAGTTCTAAGCCGACCTGTGACAATATATAGGAGGGAGAAGGATTATTTAGTTTGTGGGAATGGGGACAAACAGGATAAGTGCACTTTGAAAGTATGTTACATATGCATGTATAGCAGTAAGGAAGAGCAACCCCTTCCAAAGTTCCCAACACATATGAACAATGCCACTCTGTGCGGTTAATAAAAATCTGAACCCTGTATATCTATTTCCTTTGAGTATGGATGTATACGTGGTGGTGTGTGAGTAAAGGAAACCTTTCAGCACAGAATATTTAGGCAAAAGGCACACCGATGCCACCCCCAATTACACAGACCATAACAAATTAAAGTGGATGAGATGTCCTCAGTTATTCAACCTAGTATACTGAGGACATACTATCAGTGCAGGATGTCAGAGACCCCCCCCAAGGGGCACTTACAGGCGGCCGCTATGGGGCCCGGGGAACCCGGCCAGGACATCCTGGCCGCTGTTCGGGCCGCCTGGATCGCTATGGCATCTCATACTGCTGGCTGTCACTGGCGGATGTGAAGAGGGCCCAGAAATACCATAGGGATACATTGGGATGCTTTTTTGGTCTGGGATCAAACTGTTCTGGTCTGGACATGATCCGGACATGGTGTGAAAAAGTCCAAAACCACGCTACTGTACGATTAACACAACGCATAGGTGTGAACAGTCCCTTAGCATTACAACTTTGTTTTGTATTCAGATAAATAACCAGAATTAAATTTCCATGCAGCTCCTACAATTATCCTCCTCACTACAGTTGTAAACAGCTGTTAAACGTAACATTACGAACGGAATTTTACTGGTGTCTGGCAGGATTTGACCACATTTGCTGTCTGCCCTCTGACACCCCTCCCTCACGAACACACAGCTAGACGGAACAGAGGAGAGGCGGAACTCGAGGAGTATCCGCTCTGTTTCTGGGGGGAAGGGTTATGTGGGACACAGGAAGTGGTTCTGCAGCTGCAGGTGAGTGCTGTGTATTAGTACCATGTGGGTGAAGGGAATCATGAGCACATACAGGATAGAATTCAGGCAGAGGGTGACTTCTGAGTGCACTGTATTAGTTACAGAGAGGGGGGAGAGACAAATACAGACGGAACACCTATTTCCATGGCTGCTCTGCAGTCTTGCTTGTGATAAGTGTTGTGAGGGCTTCTGTATGATGTGTGTACTGTTGTTTATGATGTTTGTGGTCTTTTTACATGTGTGCAGGTTGCACTAAACTCACATGTGTGCCTGCACTCACATATATCTGTGAGTAGCTGATCTGGTAATTCTATGCATTCAATTTCCCTGATTTAAAGAAGAACTCCAAGTGTGCAGAAAAGTTAACCCTTGTAGTGTGGCCACCCCCAGACTGCGAGGGTTAACTGCTTGTTTTTCTCTAGGAGCCGGAAACAAGAATATATACTCACCAGATTCTCAGTCCTGCGGGAGCCAGCGCTCACCTGTCTCCCCCTCTACTCTAGCTGCAGTAAGACTCTCTGCATCTCCATATCTAATAGATGATGTCATGGGTCCTTAGACCACTGAAGCCTGGGGGAAGAAGAGGCTGCAGGGACTGAGGATCAGGTAAGTTGATAAATCCCTTTGAGACACTTCTCTTCCGAGATCATTCAGAATTCATTGATACGTGCCTTTGACCTGCATTTGATCTCCTCCTGACCGGCTTTAAGGGAGTTTTTCATTACTGTTGACTTGTGAATGCAAAACTCACTTGAAACAAAAAAGCCTTTTACACAGAGTCTAGCGGCCTTCAGTACTTTGCAAGGAAATTAATCACCAGCCTGGTTCCTAGGAGTAAAAGTTACAATACCATTTTCTAGTTGAAATTAAAACACTTAATGAAATCATGATTGAATCCATGTATCAGCACACCTGAACATCTCCTCCTATGTGCAAGCAGTATAAAATATGCAGTCCAGTAAACCTTCAGTAATATCATATTCACACAGCTACCTCCTCATGTATCAATTGCCCCTCCCGTATAGATTGTAAGCCCCCACGGGCAGAGCCCTGCTTACCATCTTGTCTTGAATTGTAATGGCTTCCTTATATTTTAAAGCGCTGCGCAAACTGTTGGCGCTACGCAAATCCTGTATAATAATAATACCACTGCACTAATTGTCTCTCTTTTTGTACTCCACATACTCCATTAACCCCTTCGTGACGGGAGACGTACACTGTACGTCCAGCCACAAAGGGACCAAATGACTTGTCACGTACACTGTACGTGACGAGTTATTTGCTGCTTTAGAGGGCTGTTAATCGCTGAGAATCAGCTTTTAACATTCATTAATGGATGCCCTTACTACAGAGGCATTCATTAATGAAAGGGTTAACCTTTTTCAGACACCCGATACCTTAATATCGGGTGTCTGAGAGTCACAGCAGAGCGGGGACACAGATGCCGGCTTTTGCCAGCATTCTGACAGCTCGTATAGATCAAGAGAGATATCTCTCTCAACCTATACTGGCTTATTTTTTTCTTTTCTTTCATGAATAGATACATAATGTGTCTATTCCTATAATGTATCTATTCCTGGAAGAAGAATGTTTGTTTGCTGATCGTTGTTGCAACAATCAGAAAACCTTTAGTAACAGCTGAATCCTGAACTGCTGCAGGATCAGTGTCACTAACTTATTATTGGCTGTTCTGAAGTTTGAAGCAGCCTGATAATAACCAAAAATGTATTAATTTATCAAGCAGTAACAGCGAGATTAATTCACAATGACTGCTTTATATTATTAAATAAATAAAATAACATTTTTAAGTAAAAAAAAAAGTGAAAAGTAAAAAAAAAATGGTGAAAAGTGTAAAAAAAAAAGTGTATAAAATAAGGGACAAATAAATGAATGTATTTATTGCATTTTTTTATCATGAAGGGGTTAAAGAAGAACTCCAATACTTACCTGAGCCTCCGAGCCGGCCAGATCTTAGACCAGTCTCTTGGGCGTCTCTCCCCTCCTCTGCAGCAGTCTAGGAATCCTCATGTCATCACGTCCAATACAGTGTATAGGACGTGAGAACGCCGAGGGACTATTGCTGCAGCAGAGGAGGAGACAGGCTGAAAGGAGAACTATGGGGTCAGTGTTTTTCCCCATAGTTCTCCTAAGGGTAACAGGAGGACACAAACTAGCGTCCTCCCGTCACCCAAAGCTCAGTATATCGCGAGCTACAGCGCGCGTTATACTGAGACGCCGCAGCCGGGAGGGATCCCGACAATACTGTCTGGATCCAGCCAGCTGCATGAGTGACAGCTGGCTCTGCCTATCTAGAGGCAGAGCCAGCTGTACCCGCCCTCTCCCACGTCCGTTCAGCCAGTGGATGGATGATCGGACATGGGAGGGGGGAATCCCTGCAGGGAGCCGTGAGTGACAGTCACGGCTCTGCAGGGAAAGGATCGAGAAGTGAGCGAGCGACGCTATGTGTTCGCTCACTTCCCGATCTATTGAGCCGACGTGTGACAGTTTAATTGTCACAGGTCGGCTAGCACTATGAGGCTGAGTGATTTTCACTCACCTCATAGTTCTCCTTGAAGGGAGCGCTGCCGACTCCGAGGATAGGGTGAGTGTAACTTTTTTTTTTTCCTAGACCAAAACGCACAGTTAACCCTTGCAGTGCGGGGGTAGCCCCGCTGCAAGAGTTAATCAACATTTCTGTCCGGAGTTCTTTAAAGTATATAATATCTCTCAACCTTCCAGAAAATAAACTTGTGGTTCCTGCTGAGGATGCTGTGTTAAAGTAGTATTAAACGCTCAAACATTTTTATATAACGAATACAGATTAAACAAATATACATTGCCCAGAAAAGTATTTATTAAACTTGTTGACCAAGCACTTAGGCAGCGCCAACTCTTTCAGCTCGGTGTCCCTAAACTTCCTGTCCAGTACAAGATCACAAGGTATAGCAAAGTCTCTAGCAGCCATTCATCTACTAGCTTGGAAAAAGGGAGTGGGTTGCCTTGCTGTGTTTGTGGAGACACATACAGCTTGCTAGCACACATAAGGGTGGCTCCATAGGACCCTATGGAAACCCTAAGGGAAAGGAGCCACCCTTAAATGCGATGTTGGGACCTGCAGAAACAGGGGGCCAGATGATTCTGCAGGAAACGGAAACTTTTAAACATCAAGAAGCACCATCTATTGTAAGTGATTTCATCAGCATTTAAAATAGCTTAAACACCTTTTGGCTTTCATATCACTTTAAGTACATAGACTGTGTGATGGTATTTATTAAGAGTATCACAAGTTTTCATGCACTCCCCTGTTGGGGGACCTCTAGCTCTCCAAGTTCGCCTTCTCCTGGGCCATACTAGCATAGATGGAGGAATCTATGTTAGGGATCTATCATTCAGCCTCTAGGCTAATCAAAAGAAATCTATTAGTGTATGGCCATTTTAGGTCAATATTGGAGGCTAGTTAGTCCACAACTGTACATGTGCTATCATAGGGGACATAGCCAGGATTTGATCTTGTCCCGATGTTTTGCCAGTAAGCCCAGTTTTTTCTCAATGGAACTTGAGCTGGAGGTCCCCCAACAGTGGATCACATGGAAGATTCTGGGGTTATCGCACAGTCTAAAGGTGGCCATACACTTTACAACCCACGCAAGACTTTTGTCTTGCGAGGGTTGTAAAGTAATTTTAAAAAACGTACGATCTGCCCATCTTGGACAGGAAGATCGTACTTGCGCTGAGGGGCGGGCTTCCGATGACCGAAATGCTGAACGGGCAGTGTGCGCTTGTGCACACCGGCCCGTGCGGCAGTTATCTCACAATCATGATTCAAACCAGCCGACCGTCTTAGAAACGCAGTAAAAACGGTCGCACACCTTCCATACACTGCACGATTATCGTACGATCGCGGGATTTTCCGCGCTTATCGTACGATAATCGTGGAGTGTATGGGCACCTTAACATTCTTTACAGTGCACTGGCAACAGGAATCATGAGTTAACTCCTAAGAACCTAGTCCATGATACATTGTAAACACATTTATAGTATCCCCTGGCTATAGCCTTAAACTGTCAAACATCAAAAAGTTTTCCTGCTTTTAACCTTAGTGTGAGACAAGTTTTTTTACATGCTAGCTTGTGAGTGTGCCAGGACAATTTTTTGCTGTTTGACTGTTTAAAGCCCATTCCGTGTGCACCTTGCGATAAAGCTGGTGACGAATTGATGAGTGCGTTTGTCATGTGTTTTGCTTGACTGATTTGGTGCAGTGACGCATGGGGGGTCTCAGCTGCCATTGGGATGTGCGGGATCCTTTGTGCGTCTCTGTGCCTTTAAGGGAGGTTAGGCTTCCTCCTCTAATCGAATAAAAATCGATGGATTAGTAGCATTATCAGACGAAAAAAATCACAGCAAGAACACTGCACATGTGCAAACGAAAATCTGTTCTGTCAATCGACAAAATGCAGTGAGTTAGTATTGTTAACGAACGATTATGGAAATCGGCATTGGTCTGTGCATGATGGGGTATTTGAGCTAGAATCCAACCTGCCAGCAACAAAAATTTCCGATCAAAAATCTATAGGTGTATGACCAGGCTTAAAGGGTTTCTAAACCCTCCGGTGTTTTTGCATATATCTACTGCCAGTAAGCAGTAGATATATGCAAAAAGTTTTTTTTAAAAGCGGTTTAAACTTACCTGTGTCTTCGCCGCACGCTCAAGTCCGAAAATTCTCGGGCGCCCGCAAAGCATCTTGGGGCGGGCGCAAGTGCAGTTCAAATTTTCGGCCAGGAGAGACACAAGGTAAGTCTATGGACGCGTGCACCCGCATGCAGACACCGTGGGACAGGAAGTGCCAGCAAGGACAGAGGAGTCAGCGCTGGATCGGAGACCCGCAGCAGCACTGGAGGGACAGATGAAAACGTTTTCCGAATCGTACGAAAATCGATGGATTAGTGGTGTTTACAGACAAGAAAAAGGGGGGTTCGATGACGGGACGAAAGAAATCGAATGATAATCATAAGGTGTATGGGCACCTCTACACATTGCTTAGCATGCCTGTGCTTAACATTAAACAATATATCTGATGCTAGGTCCACGTCAATGTTATTGGAAAGGAATCTTACTTGTCTATAATTTTTTGAAAGTTTGTGTTTCATGTTTATCCTTTAAATAATAGAACGCGAGTGGCATGATCATGTTTTGCAGAGTAAATCACTCCATTGTTTGTTTGCTTTTTTTTTCTCTCAAAGAAATGGCCGGCACATCTACAGAAATGGATCCTGATCTGGCCCGGCAGCTGTTCTTCGAAGGGGCCACGCTTGTGATTTTAGGATTTCCAGAAGGCTCGGAATTCGGTATAGACTTAAACAGCTGGGAAGTTGGTCCTCGTTTCCGAGGGGTGAAGATGGTGCCTCCAGGACTTCACTTTATCCACTATAGTGTGAAGAGGCTGAGGGGAGCCCCTGGAGAAACGGGGCCACGTTCTGGCATTTTCTTCTTCCTTGAGCAGAAGGCCATCCGCCTCCTACAGTGGGATGCTCAACGAGAAGAGATGATCCCTACCTCCCAAGAGGAGGCTGAGGTTCTACGGGAACAGCTTCCTTCTTTGGATCCGTTCTTGGGGCCTTACCCTTATGAAAGCTTGCGTCGCTGGGTATCTCTAACCAGCTACATTACTAAAGAGGCCATGCTAAAGTTGCAACCTGCCTGTGGGACAATATGCTCCTTCCCGGAGGTTCTTCCTACTGAGAAAATGACCCACACAGAGGATCGTGCTAAGCACAACTTGCCCAGGTAAATATGGAAGCATAGGAGGTTATGGGGCTTGACCTAGTTTGATCTGATGTCTGCTCACCTAATCCACTAGGTTTCAATTTGAATCAGAAGACCACTTGATAATAACCAGATGTATAACCCCTTTGGTCCTTCATTCAGAAGAGGCCTGATCTTGACTATATTGGCTTAAATTCTCAGTGTCTGAGTCAGGAGCTATTTGTAATGCCTACCTTTAGGGATGCACCGATACCGAGTATTTGGGCGAGAACTCGTACTCACCCAAATGCTCCTATACTTACCTCCGTCTGACCGCAAGTGCAGAGGGAGCATGCAGCCGGCTTCCTTTCCAATCAGAAAGGCGGGCGGTGGGTTATTACCTGGCTTCCTGATTGGCTAGTAAGCTAGCTTCACTTGTTGCCTAGCAGCCTGGCTTCCTAACCAATCAGGAAGCCAGCAGCACGTAATGACCCGCCTTTCAGCTTCCTTATTGGTCGGGAACAAGTGAATCTGGCTTCCTAGCTAATCAGGAAGCCGGGTAGCAGGTCATGACGTGCTGCCCGGCTTCCTGATTAACTGGGCAGTCAGCTTCACTTGTTGGTAAGCAGCCTGGCTTCCTAACCAATCAGGAAGCCGGGCAGCACATCATGACTCGCATCCCGGCTTCCTGATTGGTCAGGAAACCAGGCTGCCTCGGCAGGTGAAGCCAGTGTTCTTTTGCTAGAACACCGGCTTCCCAGGCAATCAGGAAGCCGCCCGACTTGCTGATAAAATGGTCACAAGGCACTGGTACTCGGTATGGGCGAGTACCAAAAAAAAATATTGGTACTAGATACTGAAAAACTGGTATCGGTGCATCCCTCCCTCCCTCCCTACCTATTCAGATAATGCTCTTTTCTTCTCCTGATGATCTAACTCTTTGATGCTTAAAGGATAGGTGTATTATAAAGTGCCCTATAAAGTAAACTTGTACACCTCTGCATTTCCAGGACACAAAAAGTACATGCTCCTACCAACGTATGGTCTGCCAACACCTTGATCTGCCTCTTGTAACTAACAAAGGGCTTGCTTTGTTTGCTCCCAATGGCTGAACAGGGAGATGGATGAGTGAAAGAATGTAGGTATATGAGGGGAAATCTCTGTAGGAACCCTAGAGGGCAGTAAAACCCAACATGGGTTCTAATCCTTTCCCACTTATCCAAAACTAGACTTACATTGACTGGGTTTACAATTTAGGTGGACTTGTTGCATCGAACTAAAAAGATGTTTCATGGTTTGACGGTTCCGAATTTTGCTGCCTTGTATATAGGGTTGCATGATGTACTCTTTCACTGATATACTTGCTCCATGTTTAGATATGACACAATGTGTCAGAACTATAAGGAGGGCTTGTCAAGACTTCCACAGATGAAACAAAAAGAAGGAACGGAAATCCGCTTTAGCGTAGTTCCAGAGAAAACGTATCCAAAGAATGCCACTCCCGCTGAAGTCACGCTGCACAGCATGGACCTGTCCTACGCCCTAGGGCAGCTGATAGATGAATACTACCCAGAAAAAACTTTGGATATACTAGGTAAGCGGAAATGTTTTGTAAAACACTGCAAGGGTCATTTTTTTTTCTTTGCCCGTAATTTGAGTTTTTATAAGGGGCAAGGGGGAGGGTAGAATACCTGTCCACATGGCCCCCTCTGCTGATTTTCAGCGGCTTTCTCTGCTTGGTGGCCCAGCTGATCAGTTGTTTTAGAAGTGCTGATTAGCTTCTTTAACAGTGAGATCTGACCTTGAAATCCAATGCCTTGAAACAACATCTAATCTGTGTCGGGGTGAGAAAAGCCAAGCAGCAGTTCCAGTGGAGATCGCTTTGATGCTGCTTAGCAGTGCTGCTAATACAGCCAAAGAGTGGGATGTGAGCATGAGTTTACACTGAAGCTGCCCAAACATTCATAAGAATTGGCTGAAACTCTTAACAGTAGGTGGCCCTGCTGGCAACACTTAACTCGACAAACTTGAATTGAAAATTATCGGCTGAACAGTGACTGCAGTCAGTCAGCTGTAGTCACTCTTTGGGTATTCTGACAGCCAGCAGGGGAGATTCCTCACCTATAGGGCAAACTATAGATTTCTTTTGTTCAGCCCAGCAACCAGTGTATAGCCAGCTTTACTCTTCAGAGGTAGAAACCCTTTCACTGTATCGGTGATACATTACTTGTGCAGTTATGCGCATCAACCAATCCAATTTCTTCCTGTCTACAGCCATCAGAGCAATTAAAGATAATTGCTGACCAGATGCTGTAGTTTATTGCACTTTGCATATTGACTCATTAAACCTGAACTCTAGTTAGTTATAAAAGACAGAAATGAATGCAGCTCTGTATGCGTAATACATCATTAAATGTATTTTTTCACGCAAGTCATGTAAGTTCCTAAATATGACTTGCAGGGTTATTTACAAAAGGGTGAAGAGTTTGGGGAAGGCAGGAGAAGGGAACAATCTAGGACAACATAGCTGATTTGGAGAAATTCTCCAAATCAGCTCACTTTCTGGATCAGCTCACTTTCTGGTTCAGCTATGTTGTCCTAGGTTATTCACTTCTCCTGCCATCTCCAAACTCTTCACCCTTTTGTGAATAACCGTGTCAGCCTCTTGCAATCCCCCATACAGCAACACTCATACTAGGAAAGGGAGAGAAATCGCTAGGAGCCAATTGAGTGTGCTGCATACAAATCTGTGGATAAGAGAAGAGCAGGGGGATGACCTCATTGCTCCTTTACTGTCGGCAGGCCAGGGATGGAGAAGGAACACCGCTGTATTTCTTACCTGTAAGTGGTGTCATCCAGTTTGCTGTGCTGTGTCAATCTCAAGACTGGGCAGACAGAAAAACAAATCTTTCAGAAAAATGGCTCCCATATATGTATTTTGTCTGAGTATGTTCAGACTCAGTTTAGCGTCATATAAAGTCACAAGTACTCTGTGAATGCACAATTGCAGACAGGAAGTTGCCTGTGCTCTTACCTCCCAGGACTTGGAAATAATCATTTTTTTTTACATAGGCGATTCTGTGTTTTTCTCCAGCTGAACTGCAGTTTGCCTTTGTGTGCTTCATCCTGGGGAATGTATACGAAGGGTTCGAACAGTGGAAGAGTTTGCTGAACCTTCTATGTCGAGCAGAGACCTACTCTGTACAGCACCCAGATCTGTACATTGAGCTCATCTCCATCTTGTATCACCAGCTGGCCCAAGTGCCCACAGACTTCTTCATCGACATTGTGTCCCAGAACAACTTTCTGACCAGCACTCTGCAGGTAATTGCGCCCTTCGTTATAGTATACCTGTACTGAATGACTGCCATTGCTGAAAGCCTTCTGAAAATGCCAGATCCCTAGCTGCCTCATTTCTGACTGAGATCAAGCTTGCCAGTATGAAATTGGGCTTTAAAGAGACTGTTGCCTTGTGCATTCAGGGCAAAGTGACAGTGCCTTTGTAAAGGATCCAGCACCCTACCACCATCAGTTACACTTTCCCTACCATTGCTTCCTCGCCATTCCTTCATTTAGCACAGCTGGCAAGAATACTCTGTGCTTCTGGGTATGGGGAAGCATGTGACTTCAAACCATTGAACAGTGCTTTGGGGGTAGCAACCATTTGCTAGACATCAGCACTGTTGCGACTGGAAGAGTGACATCATAAATTTTCTAAGCGTCTGACATCAGCAACACAGTGCTGGCTGCAGTGGAGTGGCAAGGGTACTGCTGGTAAGGTGACTATAACCGGAGGGGGTCTTTACAAAGACACTGTCATTTGCATGGACAAGATGACAGTGTCTCTTTAAGTGTGGTTTCACACTTGTGGTTCAATAATGCCTACTGTCATTTCATGTGTTAACAAGTATTCTGTTAAACAGTTTTGAATGACCTATGAACACACCCCAGCACAGCCAAAACCACTCCTTATCTTATTTCCGGAACGAATAGTGGTTTGTGGTTTCCACAAAATGTATATCAATTGCTTATCATAGATAGGGGTCTGGTATGAATTTTAAGGGTGGACCCCATGCAAAAAACAAACATCTTTTCACATCAGAGTCCCCCCTTTTTTATCAGAAGCCCCATTTCCCATCAGAAATGACAGGGGGCAAAACATGATGCTGAGGGTGAGCCTGGATGCAGCCCACTCTGTATTAGCATCATGCATTTTCATGGTGCTGGTGGCTGGCACTCCTGTACCATTAAAAAGCATAAAGCCAGAAGGCACCACAGTGTGCCACAGCAGCCTGGTTGAGAGAGGCTGGTGTACAGCTCCAAAAATGTAAACCTTAAAGAAGAAAAAAATTAATTATTCCACAACCATGTGAATGAGTGAGTTACAGGAAGTGTTTGGTTGCAGTTACTATACCCCCACCACCACTTTCCAAGCTACATTTTCAGCCACAGCTATGTCCCAGGGAGATTAAAATGGAATAGCAGGCTCTGGTTGTACTGCAGAATGGGGCAGGCACAGAAATCTGACACACCTGGAAGTGTCAGATTCTGCCAGCAGCCATAACTCTTTAATAGAGCAAAAATCCAAGGAATGAGCAATGTTACAGTTGAGTATTAAAGGTGTTCTTTTCTGGGTTTCATATTAACTTTCATTTTTGCAACAGTCACCTTTAGCTGGTGGCTGATCGTGAACTTGGTTCGGTAAAGGGATGGTTGAAGAGGATTGTCGGCCCATGATTACCTCTGGGACGCAGTAGTCACACAGCTGGCAGCTGATGCAATATCTAACCACCTTCGGGAGATACTAGTTGCTTGGCTGTTTTTGGCACAATACTTTCATACAGTAGTCACTAACCTGGAGCAACCATGCTACTAGTATAGTCAGAACAGTGTTTTCAGATTGATTGTAATACCCAGTCAACCAGCATGAGGAAAAAGAAAGTGAAGTCATGTTAAAGCCCACATATTTTCTTAGTATGAGTTTCCCTTGAATGGCTTTTAAAGGAGAACTATGGGGTCAGTGCTTTCCCCCATAGTTCTCCCCAGGGTCACGGGAGGACATAAACTAGTGTCCTCCCGTGACCCAAAGCTCAGTATACCGAGGGCTACAGCTCGCGGTATACTGAGACCACCGCAGCCGGGACGGATCCCGACATTACGGACGAGATCCGCCCAGCTGCGTCATTAACAGCTGGCTCTGCCTATCTAGAGGCAGAGCCAGCTGTACCCGCCACCTGCAGGGAGCCGTCACTAACACTCACGGCTCTCTGCAGGGATATGATCAAGAAGTGAGCGAGCGCCGGTATGTGTTCGCTCACCTCCCGATCTACTGAGCCGACCTGTGACAGTCTCATTGTCACAGGCCGGCTCGAACTATGAGGTGAGTGGAAACCACTCACCTCATAGTTCTCCTTTAACAAGTTCCATGGTACAATTTGTGAGCCGTCATATGTAGGGCAGGGCTACTGAACATGAAGTTTCTCTTTTGACATAATGTGTATCTGTGGTTATTGCCTCCTTTTTTTTTCTCCAGGTTCTTTTCTCATTCCTGTGTTCTCAGTCCACAAATAAAGACCTGAAGAAAAGAGCCATCCGATTCCGGGCCCATCTGACCAAGAAATTTCAGTGGGACTTTGAAGAGGATCCTCAAGACTACGCTCCGGTTGTTGTCCCGCTCCCCGAGGGTTGGGAAAATGAGATCAGGGACCAAAATGCAATGGAAGAGGGGAACAGTGAGACCGTCCTCCCTTCATAGCCTGAAATACCGCAAACAAGGCATGACATGACACTGATGACTGGTCGCACATGTTCTCAGCAGTAAAGCAACATACCCGGATGCTTCTTTATGATGATGATTGAATATACAGGTGGGGAGGCAGCATGAGACTGGCCAGGATCTAGGACAGAGGTGCATCGGTCCTGTATACCACTTCAATTAGGGGCCCCAAAATCTGTTATGGTTCCTAGCCAGGTGGACAGTACTTGATATTCGGTAGCACTTTTTGGGGGTTGCTGGACAATGTCACATCAACTTTTGGTGTCAATACATTAGTGTAATTGAACACTTCTAATGAACACAATGGCTATTCTGTTCTTTATCTTGTGGCTAACTGCTGCATCCTGTCTTTCCAACATGTCATAAAACTGAAAATACTGCTGTCTATAACAAGACATGCAGCCTTCAAATGAGTAAGAAAAGGGCACTTACCTGCAGTTATTAAAGTATATGTAAAAAAATTCCAATCACTTCTTTTTATATGTCAAAGTAATTTCAATTGTATTTTATTATGTTTAAATCTGCATTAAAATAACATCTGATGATCCTGCCATGAAGGTCCTTGTTCAGGCGTTTCCTGTTACAGGGTTACAAATAACTATCCCTGTCTACCAATTGTGCTCCTACAATGTCACATGGGCTTCCGATTGAGACTGCAACTAGACGTTTCAACACACATTACCAAGCATGGTCCACTGTTGTCACCATCAGGTCTTGTAGCCATAATGGGAAGAGGCTGCAAGAGATCAGCAGCAATGGGATGAAAAAAGGTGATTTTTGTTTTTTTAATGAAATAAAATAGAATTTTATGATACACTATGCTTTAGCAAACTGTCATTCACTTAGAGTTTGCATCTACGGTACTTTGACCACTTGTAACATGTAGGCTGAAAGAGAGGTTTGAAGCTACTTATTGCTACCTAAATAGAAAAGTTTGTGATAAGGACACTGATCACATTCATATGGCCAAACTCATCAGTCCCATCCGAAAGGCTGGGTGCCAGCCGATGGGCACGCCAGGACTCCGATGTACTTCTTCGCTGTACTTTCAACAGGCAAAGCTGGTAACACATTTTAGGCCTGGAGATTAGTTAACACCTCCTCCCCTCTCAATAGGATTATATATTTTCTGAAAGCAGAGATCCTGAAGAAGAAAATGGTGGCAGTTGCAATTTTTACATTTTTTCTTTTTTGTAACTTTATAAAACAAATTTTTTTTTGTAACAAATGTATTTAAATTACCTTTGGTGCACACAAAAACAATACATTTGCCTATTTTTTTGGTAAAATATAAATACCAAACTTGTCATGCCCTAAAACTGCTCAGTACCGGGAAATGGTGATACACTTCAGTACCCAAAACTGCCCATAAACGACGCTTTAAAACCCTTTACAGGTCATCAGTTTAGAGTTAACCATGAATAATGGCCATAGAACTATTGTCATTCCAGCGTATGCGGTGATATGTAGTGTGTGGCCAATCCAGTTTTGCACATAGGCACCCCTGAACTATGCCTGTAGGTACATACGTGCATGCTTAAAAAAAGTGTGGTTTATTTTGTTATTTTACTTAGCTTCTTCCCCAGCCTCTATGGCCCAGGAATGACCACTTTGAAACCAGAAGTGACAAGTTCATTGTTGCTCCCGGATCCATTCACAAATCAGCAAATGGATGTTCATTGGTCTCCCTCCCACCTTGTCACTGACACCTGCCATGGCTATCCCGGGCTTGCAGAAGGGGCAGTGAAGCCTGAGATACATGGAGGAAGGGGGGGTGCAGCTTTTAGAGCCCGTGGAAGTAATCGAATAGCTAACACAAAGCCGACAGAACATTTTACACGCTCTTCATCTCAATAACATAGAGGGGAGAGGGCTCTGTAGTCCACATAGAGAACTGGGAATAAAGCTGATTGAAGTCAGCACAGGCAGAGACCACAGGAAGTCATCAGCTCACTAGGTTTCTGGCAGGAACAGCAGGTATTTCAAACAAATTTGTATTTTATTGGTGTATTTATCAGATCAAAATGGAGCAAATAAGAGAAGTTAATTATTATGGTTTACATACAGTTTAAAGGCAAATACTGCATGGAGAGCCATTCACACAGGATCTGTTGTCAACACCCCTGAAACACAGAGGGGGACCTGGCTGTCAAGTATTTCCAATGTCCTTCTGCAACTAAATATCAGTTGATGTTAAGCCGACTTTGTAAAGAATATCTATAAACTGTATCGGGAAGACATTATAAGGAATATGCAGCTATTTTGTACATATTTAAATATAGTAAATATGAAATGCTGCATATTAAAATGATGTAGTCTTGTATCCAGCCAGCAGGTGGAGCTCTGCTTGTCATCCGGCCATCTATTTCAGTTCTGCCAAAAGAAGCATGTTGCCTCTGGAAGGCCAAATGAGTCACAAGGGTGATGCATCCTTTATCAGACAGTGGCAGGTTTCAATCAGACTAATCCTGCTTCTGTTGTGCTCCATTCAGCGAACCCATAGTGCTCTGGGAATTATTTATCCTGAATAAAATGTTTATTTTTACGGATGTGTGAATCAAATTAAAACTTTGTTTTGGATAAAGTGGGAAACATTTAGATCTTTTGTCACGTTTTATTGCTGTATGAGGCCTTAGGAGATTATTGCTCGCTTCTTGCCCTGGTGACAGTGTTGTCACCCAGAAAGGAAATAAAAAAACAGACATGTCTGTGAAGGTTCTCATTCATACAAGTCAAGACAACTGGACTTGCTGTATTTTTCTTGAAGACGTTTCAGTCGTCATCCAACCAGCTTTCTCAATTCAGAATGACTTGTACAAAAATTCTCTGGGAATAAATATGGTGAATGTTACTCCAATCCATTTAAGACAAGATGGTAAGGAGGGCCCTGCCCCTGAGGGCTTACAATCTAAAAGTCTGCCACACACAATGCTGTTTTAACACCTCTCTCTGGGCAGGTTAATAACACCTCCTAGACTCCGATTATGCAAATGCAATCAACACCTGGTTGTGACCAACAGCTTATGTACAAGTAATTCTGAATTGAGAAAGCTGGTTGGATGACCAGTAAAACGTCTTCAAGAAAAATACAGCAAGTCCAGTTGTCTTAACTTATTTTTTACAGATAAAAAAACAGAGAGAGCAATAAAAACACTTTTTTAGTAGACTATGGAAAGTAGGGATGCACCGATAGCGAGTATTTGCGCAAGTACTTGTACTCGCCCAAATGCTACAATACTTACCTCTGATACCGAAACCTTCGGTCTCTGACCAGCCGTGCCAAGGGAGCATGGAGCCAGCTTCCTTTCCAATCAGGAAGCCGGGTGGTGGGTTAGGGCCCGCCTCCCAGCTTCCTGATGGGTTAGGAAGCCAGGCTGCCTATCAACATGTGCAGCCGGATTCCTAACCAATCAGGAAGCTGGGTGACACGTCATGACTCGCCTGATTGGTCAGGAAGCCATGCTGCCGAGCAACAAGTGAAGCCGACTTCTTAGCCAATCAGGAAAGGGCGGGCCATGTCGTGCCGCCCAGCTTCCTGATTGGCAAGGAAGCCGGGCTCACTTGTTGCTCAGCAGCCTGGCTTCCTGACCAATCAGGAAGTGGGATGGCAGCTCATGACCCACCATCTGGCTTTGTGATTGGTCAGGAAGCTAAGCAGCCTCAGGAAGTGAAGCTGGTGTTCTTTTGATAGAGCACCTGCTTCCCAGGCAATTGGGGTCAAGATCCGCCACCCCACTGCCTGATAATAGGGCACCGTTATTGGTACTCTGTATCGGCGAGTAGAAAAAAATAATATCGGTATCTGTGCATCCCAAATGGAATGGCTAGCACCCCTTTACATTGAAATTGTTATTTGTGTCCCAATTGGAGATTTTTCCCTCAATTGTTGTCACCAGGACAGGAAATATGAGAAAACTTGAAAAAGGGGACAGAACAGGTAATACTGACAGAGGTTCTATCTCTTTCCATTCTATCCAAAACAACAAAAAATGTTGTGGCTTGTGAAACACTTAAAAAAATAAAATAAATCCAATTGACGCACAAGCAGCATAGTTGGCATTTGTCATAACTCTTACACTGACTACTCTCCGGCCACAGTTTGTGTAGATGACATTACGTTTTATAATGATAGCATAATCACATCCTTTAGTCATGTAGTGACCTTCATTCTCCCTGAGAATGTGCTACAACTCTGCTCCAGAAGCTCTTAATCCTCATTCCTGGATTAACTATAGCCTGGGAAAAAAAAAAGTATGTTTTCCTTTTCGGATTCAGCAGAGGGCGCTGCTGTGCCTGGAACGCTAAAGACTTTCTCATGACCTGTATAAATGAGCCGAAACATATTTGCCCTATTTACTAAATAAAGTGGCATAGTGTAACCCATTGTGGATTTAGGCCCCATCGCTTTTTTTACACTTGAAAAGAAGGTTATAAATAAAAAGAGAGTTTTCAGATGCAGTCGCAGTATGGTGAAGAGTGTGCTTAGAGGGCACCGATCACTGCGCTTAATCATAAAAGTGCCCAAGAAGCTGCAGTTTCCAAGCAGAACTGCAGATCCGCTTAGGTATTATAAAGAACAACTCTGGGTAAAAATTTGATTAACCCTTGCTGTTGGGCTACCCCCACACTGCAAGGGTTAAGTGCTCATTTTGGCCTAGGGTCAAAAATATAAAGTTATACTCACCCAATCCTCCGAGCCTGCTGGCTGTGACAGCTCTCCCTCCAGTCTCTCACCTCTACTGCAGCGATGGTCCCTCGGCGTCCTCACAGCCAGTACGCAGTGTATAGATTGCGATGACTCGGAGACCATAGATTGCTGCAGCCAGGGCCGGTGCAAAGTTTTTTGCCTACACGGGTGAAGGAGCATTTTTGCACACCCAACCCGCGGCGCCCTCAGGTGGCTGCCTATGCACCGCACTTGTAGTCTATTAACTCTGCCTCCCATTCATATTACTACATGTCTGTACGTGCATGGACGG